TAGTTGAATGTCTTACATTTCCACCAAACACGCTGAATGAAGAATAGACGTGAACAATACAATGAAATGAATTTAACTTTTTTTTTTCATTTTATTAATTTTTCCACATTCGGTTATCGTTATAATAACTAATGACATAATACGTAAGAAGTCATCTCATTATTTAGATTATTAAATATGTTCAATTTAACCAACACCAATTTAATAAGTACAGTTAATATAAACAATAGTTAGTAGTTTATTTCATTTTTTTTCAATAATATAAAAAACAGCCGTGATCAAACTATAAAATAGATTTCAATACAGTGGATTCCTTGAGTAGCAGTTTAACGAATGTTCGGTGATTTAGCCGAATATTCGGCCGAATACGGATATTCGGTAAAGCTGCCGTATATGCCGAATACCGAATATGTAACGAATATTCGGCCCATCCCTAGTAAATATGTAAGTACTTTACTTTATTACGTATTTGTCTAAAAACAGTAAGCGTTGTAAATGAAAATAAAACTACGTGGCACGTTTATCGTGGCAGCTGCCCGCCCAGCCTGTCTATAGCTGCGACAGGTTTTGTTGTGAATTACCTGTCTAGAGTTTAAATGGAAGTCTTTGTACGAACATAATACTATCTAGTTGATTCATCTACAAAACAAAAGCAGTATTATGTTAAATATTTTATTAGTTGAATGTCTTACATTTCCACCAAACACGCTGAATGAAGAATAGACGTGAACAATACAATGAAATGAATTTAATTTTTTTTTCATTTTATTAATTTTTCCACATTCGGTTATCGTTATAATAACTAATGACATAATACGTAAGAAGTCATCTCATTATTTAGATTATTAAATATGTTCAATTTAACCAACACCAATTTAATAAGTACAGTTAATATAAACAATAGTTAGTAGTTTATTTCATTTTTTTTTTCAATAATATAAAAAACAGCCGTGATCAAACTATAAAATAGATTTCAATACAGTGGATTCCTTGAGTAGCAGTTTAACGAATGTTCGGTGATTTAGCCGAATATTCGGCCGAATACGGATATTCGGTAAAGCTGCCGTATATGCCGAATACCGAATATGTAACGAATATTCGGCCCATCCCTAGTAAATATGTAAGTACTTTACTTTATTACGTATTTTTCTAAAAACAGCAAGCGTTGTAAATGAAAATACAACTACGTGGCACGTTTATCGTGGTAGCTGCCTGTAGCTGCGACAAGTTTTGTTGTGAATTACCTGTCTAGAGTTTAAATGGAAGTCTTTGTACGACGATAATACTATCTAGTTGATTCATCTACAAAACAAAAGCAGTATTATGTTAAATATTTTATTAGTTGAATGTCTTACATTTCCACCAAACACGCTGAATGAAGAATAGACGTGAACAATACAATGAAATGAATTTAATTTTTTTTTTTCATTTTATTAGTTTTTCCACATTAGGTTATCGTTATAATAACTAATGACATAATACGTAAGAAGTCATCTCATTATTTAAATTATTAAATATGTTCAATTTAACCAACACCAATTTAATAAGTACAGTTAATATAAACAATAGTTAGTAGTTTATTTCATTTTTTTCAATAATATAAAAAACAGCCGTGATCAAACTATAAAATAGATTTCGCACATTAGGTTTTCAATTACGTCCAATAAAGTTCATAGTAAAGTACGTAACAAATTTTAGGAGTAAATTTAATGCAGTGAAGAGTAATTGCCGGCTATATAAGCGCAAATTATTGCTAAGTTTCTGTCTTTAGATAAAACCTTACTTGCGAAATCTATCTCAAGAACTAAGCAGTCTTTCTAGACATCAAGCGTGTTACTTTCTTAAAGGTGACCCCGCACCATTGAATTTGATAAAAAATATTTGCGACTCCACTATTCGTTACGTAGTTGTTTATTAGTTTTGACTTGTTTTGGATTAATTAATTAATCGATTAATTTAATTTATATACAAAAATTAAAAATGTAAAATATTTTTATTTTAAAGCAATTTTTATTAGATAAAATCATCCATGTGTCGGGGTCGTAAATTGTAACGAATTTGTATACACATATTCCGTTTGAATCGGACCTTAATACTTCGTCACAATTCACAGAAGCATTAGATATTAGTAACATTTTTCACATAGCACTTCAGTTGTTAGCACCACAAGCATTCTTTAACTTACCTATATACTACAAAACCTTTCCCTTTACTCTCCTCAGATAAACGGGAAACAGGTAGGCAACATTTAGTGAAAACGTTTTGGTTAGGATTTAACATTGAACTTTTTTAACAAAAATAAAATTTCATATTTGAATTAATCTCAATAGTCACACATAGTTAGTTTTTCAGTTAAACTTATTTTTAGAAGATTGAATCAATAACTTAGGACAGCAGAAGTTTAATATCGCGGTCCCAAAGTGTAGCTTGAGACCGCATTAGGAAGAATACAACATTTAATAATTTCAATAATGATTTATTTTTTCGGAGCTATTGATGTTCACTAAGCTGATACAATTCTTATTTAAATAACATTTTAATATTCCTAATAAATATGCATTAATTAGAGATCTAGCTATAAAATACAGTAGTAAATTTTCGGGTCGGGCTTCAGATGGCACAGACACGTGCCGGCGAAAATAATAAAAGCCTCGATAAATCATTCGAAACATTCTCACAGCGAATTAATTCTTCGCCAGCAATGCATTCTTACGTGATCGTTAAAAACGTAAAAAATCGAACTGCGGGCCTTTAAATAATGTCAAATGTGTTCCCGCGTGCGTAAAGGAGGCAAAAAGCCCGCACCACACACTTGCTACCAACATTAAAATAAATTTTCAACTTATTACGAAGTTATAGAATGCATCGGAGGCAAGTCGGAATATCTATCACATAAAAAAACCTCTCTGTTTACTTCCATCCAAACAATTAGATGAAGAATAAATTTACATAAACAAAATATACTTTATTGTGCTCACACCAATCAACACACCGATTAAATGCATGCTATATTATAATAATCCCTATAAAATAATATCTCATTCGCACAGATGGTTTTATAAAAAAAATATGTAGACATATACATATATATGGAATACAATATCTGTTAAAGTATTTTGTAAGGTTTTTAAACGTTATTTTATTGTGCTGGTGCTCTAGACTGATTTTTTTATCTATTTCTTCTATTATTACAAAACAGAGTAGGCGAGGAGTGTGACGCGTTTGCTTACCGCTATGGATGACTTAAAATTAATTGACTCATAAACCCCCATACAATTGGCGGGAAAGAAAACGAAGATACCGTAACAAAGTAAGCCTTGGTACAGCTTATTCTAGACTAGATGTTAAATGACGTCACATTCTCTCAACGTTCAAACGCAAGGAATTGAAGGAAACATTCTTACTGGGAATAACTATGTTTATTCATGAACGAGAATTTATTTACGTTTCCATAAAGATTTAAAAAAAAAACTTACAAAATCGATCGGATGTAGGAACAAAATAATAATACTAGTTCGCCGTTATTCGACTGGACTAGAAATTAAAAAAAAAACAACATCGTAAAGGAAAAAAACGTGTGACCAACAATAAAAGAATAAAAAATACAACGGAGATTCAATCACCATTAAGATTATATTTTTTATACAACACACTTTATAACTATATCAGGTCAATACGCAACAAGCTAACTTTAACTAAAACAAAGGTAAATAGATTGTTCATTTCGTAATAATAATAGCTCTAGTAAAACATTTACTTTAGTATGGGTTAAGCTCTCTATTGATTTAGGCTCGTCGTTCGTCTAGAAAGACATAAATTACTTCGGTCTGGTACGAGAGGCCGTGGCATCCGACCCCGAAACTTCAGACATCTCAGAAGACGTGAACGCACCTTAGAAATGCAGGCTCTTTCTAAGAGAATTCACTTCTTCTCCTTCTCCGAATGGTTTGTAAGCACAATAGTTTTGTGTAGGTATAGGACGCCACGGCCAATCGTTTTTACAACTACAAAAGTGGCAGGGAAGCTCGGATTCTGAAGTAATATTGGGAAACAATCCTCACCATTTATTAAACCTAACTGTATTACTTAGTACATATGTGTTATTTTAATGGGAAGTCATCTCTGTCAATCTAGTTAATTAAATAGTTATGTCGATTCTAACAAACATTTATATAAATAGCGCGTTAGCACTAGCAAACGACATCATCGCTACCGTCTTTATAAGACGTTTAGTTAAATATATTTAAAACTTTGATACAAAAGTTTATCATTTAATAAAACATCGTCTAGGAGCCGATCTGTATAACGTCCTTTTTAAGAAGCGCTAAATTAAAGTTCCATTATAATACTTTTTGTACAATATTCTCTATTCAGAATTTATAATGCGTTAGCAAAATAACATTTAAAATTTTCCGATATTTGCACAAGCGGTGTTTGGCTAAACAAAATGGACTGGTTACGCTAAAAATATCGTGTATAAAAGCTCTACTGATTGTATAAGACCAAATTTAAAAAATACATTCAGAAATATATTTTAAATGGCATGTATTTATGACGTTACTAGAAAACAGTTTTTAGAAAAAAATGGACGTCTTCGTTCTTAGTTCGAATACTCGGTTAAGGATGTACTGTTAAATTTGGTAAAGGACTTTATTTAGGATTGGCTTGTCCGTTTTTGAGCGCGGCCGAAGCAATACCGCACGGATTTCACACCAGCACTTCACACTTTGATAATATCGATTGTCTATGACTAAAATCAAACCCCATAACAGTCTCTCGTTATCGTTCAATTATCACAAAGTCTTTTTCATCTATTTGCAAACAATCTCATGCGGAACAGCGGCGGCCCTTTCGACTGAGATGCTTTTGAATGCCCCGTTATTTATCACAGTCCATTTATTTCCTACAACAATTAATTACTCTTTGGTTCCATCAATCAAAAGCATCCGAGTGCCGGCGACTCACTTTTCCGATGAGAAGGCCACAAATAGACCCGACACCTAGAACTCGAGTCTGTAGGCCGCACAGGAGGTCTCATGGTCTTGTAGATTGATCGTGCATCGGGAGGCTGACGGCGATAAATCAATCTTGTATTTCTCCAAGGCTTCTTCGTTTTCAGTCACCCAGTAGCCGAGTACGTCTGTGTCGTACGTGGGGATGATAGTTACTTCTGCAAAAGTAAAAAGAATGTTTTACTTTAATAGAAAAATATCTTTTCTACTATAATTATCATGCTATCTGTCGGGGCCTGTGTCACAATAATAATCATAATAAATTTTATTGACTTATAGATTTAAAGAAAGTATGCAAGAATAGCGACTTAAACAATGTTCAAGAAAATATATACAAATATTATTTTTCGTTGAACCCCAAACTTGGATAATCTTGAAGTAATCGTAGAGAAAACAGAAGAAGTTCGCTTACTGACAACTGTTCACACACATGCGCGCGTGGATATGTGTGGAGAATCTCAAAATAACTTTTGTGTTTCATTATATGTATTTTTACGTTTATTAGTTTAAATAATATACAAGTATACTTTTTACTGTTAGCCCTATTAAGCGATAGATTAACTCATAGAGGGATATAACTCATATTTGCCATAGGTGCCACGCTTGAAAAGCAGTTTGGCAACCGCAGTTTTTTTATTTTTAGTCTTTGAGTATTAAACCAAGGGAGACGGCACCGCAAGGCCCCCTCTGTAAAAGGTACGAGAGTCCGACTCATACTCGTTATATAAAACTAGTTGCTCCGCGTCGTGCGTCATTCCGAAATGATCGTGCCAGTAAATCGAGCTCCGACAAAATGCCGAATTGCAGTGTATTTACATGAAAAAAAAAATCAAAAACTTCAAGTATACAAAAGGACAATGTGACTTTTCATCTGTGAGTATTTTTAACATAAAGCAATTTTATCATTAAAACTCGTACTTTGTGAATATTTTCGTCCAATACCAAGTGTGGCCATCATAGTTCATAAAGTGAAAAATAATCCATTTTTAAATAAATATAATTTACTACACAAGTTAAATATATTAACGAAAATATATTTCCTAATAACTAAATCAGCTTGTGATGAATAATAATCACTACATATAGATGTGTAGCGGATTTTGTTAAATGATTTATATATTCAGCATAATTTCAACACGATACTGAATATTATATAATTTAATATAATCGATAACTAGTATTTATCAAAATATTATACAAAATAAAGGCCAAATAAGTCAAATTGAAACTTGCTACTTCGCAGCAAAAGTGTGCATATTTTATGAAAATAAACTGGTATCACTGCAACCGAAAGTATTGAACTATAGTGATGAACGCCACAACTTTAGTTATCGATAAGTTAATTAACCATACGGGTTTGTCTGCCGAACCGGTTTGTAGTTTTTATTTAACTTTTACAATAAAGTATTACAAAAAGTGGTAAATTTTTCTATTATTGGTTTGTTTTTACAGATTTCCAAAAGATCCTTTTAGGCGACAAACTTGGATTGTAGCTTGTAGAAACCATGAATCTTGGATTCCTATTTGCTCCCAACATTTTGAAAAATCATATTTCATATCCCAAGCTTACAATAAAAGAAGGTTAGCTGACACTGCAGTACCAACCATGAACTTGTGGGAGGTAATGTTTGGCTGTAATTAGATTTACTCGTATATAACCAAAATTTCTTTTAGAACTTGCATAGTACTCCGTCAATTGTTTTTTTTTTTCATTTCATCTATCACTAATATACAATACAATTTCTTGTCAGGGTTACTCTCTAGTCTAAGTTTCAAAACAGTTAACGCTTTTTTGTGTAGCCAAGTCGGCCATGAATTGTACATTAGTTTAGCAAAACATCTTTCTGAGGAATACTTAGTCATAAGTAGATGTCACATTTTATTTTTAAGCAGCTGTTTGTTTAAAGTTCACTTTGTTCAACTGTGATATAGTGTATAACTTTTTTAATTTCCTAATTTATTAAATATTTTCCAGATAGTTCATTTAATTACTCTTCAAAATCAACAACTTTTTATAAATAGCGGTTTTGTGATTGAAGCCTTATAATAAAAACAAAAACTTGATTAACACCATCTCAGATGATAAACTGATAGGATTTTTCTTTTCATAAATCTGATTTTTAAAATAAGTTAACTAAACCTCCTATTTCGAATTGTTAAACATTTTAAATTTTATCCTGCATAATGTAAAATAAACCTGTAGCAAAATAATAAAGTTTCTTTCAATAATTTATAAGCTTTTTTGCGCCCCCCTGATCTTGACAGAATTTTTGTTTAGGAATTAACGCGCATAGTTGGTTGAATACTCAAAGTTTTTAGTCGTCATTCGGAAGACGCTGCTACCCGTCTCCTGATTTTTTGTTTTAAGAGTTTCAAGAGACGTGGTAGCTCAGGGGCTAAGCTTTAGCTGTGAATTTCACAGTACGGGTTCGATCCCTACCGGCACCAATAAATATGTTAATTGCAATTTTAAGTGCTCGGTGATGAAGGAAAATCTCGTAAGGATTTAAGGTTTAGGATTTAACATTATAGCGCTGATAAAGTTGAGCCCCAGCATTAGACGGCTTGACATAGTAAAAATTGGTAACCCTGCAGGCCATCCCTGGAACTTCCCGCTAATTCAAATGCAAAGCGCTCCAAATTTCACCAAACTATGTTGTGAAATCACGATGTAAAAAAAAAACGTTTCTTTAAATTCTTTCTCCTTCGATATCTCACGAACGAATCAACCGATTTTATTTTCCAAACCGCATTCGACGTAATTTTTTGAGGTTAAGAGCTTAGAACGCCGCAAACCGCATCTCAATCGATCAAGACGTTTAAAAGTTATGATATTTTTACATACTTACACTCACACACACACACACACACACACACACACACACACACACACACACACACACACACACACACACACACACGTACGCACACACACACACGCACGCGCGCACACACACACACACATACACACACACACACACACACACACACACACACACACACACACACACACATCCGTACGGACGTCCATGTGAAATTAGTCAGAATAGCTTCCTGTGATCTCTAAACGTCGAGATCTAATGAAAACTCGATTTTCGAAAATCGAGGTGAAACCAATAACTTCCCTATTTTTTAAAACTCAATTATTTTAGCAGGAACTTAATAACTTAGCTGTTTATTGTAAATTACGATAAATTCAATTGAGTGTTGTTGATTATGGAATCAAACTATTATTAAGTACTTCCCTATGAAACATTAATTATTACTTTATTAGTCCAGGGAGATATAAATCCGACCAAATCTCGACCGTTACTAAAACGGTAACACTATGTAATTGGAATTGAAAACAAATGTATATGCACTAAATGATAGATCTACTTACTTTTTATGTTCACTTATCACCAGGTGGAATAGGAGCTTGCTCGTCAGTTAAATTTAATTTATAGAGAAATGTAAACACTTACCTAAATCTTTATCTTCCCAGGTCTTTTTAGCGTCAAGGAGAGCATTGTAAATTTCCTTTGAAGGTTCAGTGCCAGAGAAAACGTAATATCGTGCTCTGACTCGTTTGAAGAATTCCACTGCAGAATAATAAGAATTACCATGGTGGGGGACGTATGTCAGCTCCATATAAACTGGACTCGGAGATTTCTTTTTACTCGGTGACTCAGAAGCCCTATTTTTCGCCTCCTTACTCTTCTCTTGGTTTATTTTGTTCTTCATTTGTACACTCGACGTAGGCCCTTGTTTTTTCGGAGTACTTTTGCCATCCGCTTGAGTGGGAGGCTGTATGGGACTAGGTAGACCTAAAGGCTTACCCCAGGACTCAATGGGGTCCTTTTCTTTACTTGATTGAGTTTCTGATTTTGATTCTGACCCAGAAGTAAGTAAAGACGATGTTTCTGGTGATTTCTTAGCTTCGGATTTTAATTCCTTCAATGTAATCGTACTTTCTTCCATTGTTGGCAAATGATGACTCTTACTAGAATGGCTTTGTTGATCTAATTCATATTTAGCTGTTATACTTGAAATTACATCTGGACCGCTTACTTTTTTGTACTCTTCTATGGCTTTCTCAAATTGTTCATCGGCTTCTTTAAGGAATGTATCATCAGACGATACTACTCTGTGTTTGTCTGTATCCGACTTTGACTTATCTTTTGACAAGGTTTCCTCAGCGGTCTTATTTACATGTTTATCAGCAATTTGTACCTCAGATTTACCTTCAGAATAAGAAGATGTGCAGGAATCACTTTCACCAATGTGTCTTAAATAATCAGAAGACGAAATATCTTTATAGGCAGCGGTCGAATCAAATTCAGGTTTTTCAGTAGCCATATCATGGTAAATTTCTTGATGCTGTGTTATTTTTGGATCTAATTCAAAGCTGACATTGGATCGCGGCGAATGAGCAATTTGGGATTTTGTGCTACTTGGACTTCCTTGGCCATCATCATCACTATAATATATTCCGCTGCTTTCAGTGCCCCATAAATGTGTTGCAGCTCGTGAACCTCTAGAACTTATATCCGAAGGTGGAGTCGATATTCCAGGATGTTCTAAATCATCACTAGCTGCGGAAGAGCTACGTAGGTCTAAAGTTTTAGACGAATATTTAGAAAATGATTTTTCGCTATCTCCTGTATCAATAATTTCTTCATACTCTTCTTTAAATTCTGATATTGTAGTTTTAGTCGATTTTGTAGTTTTAGTTACGCCATCATTACTCTTACTCACTGTAGTAGTTTCAACAGTAACTTTAATTTTTTCGGGACTTATGACTTCCTTAGTAGTAACAACTGTTATTGTTTGCGTTATTTCATTGTTTCCTTCTTTTATAACTTTTGTAAAAGTTTCCGTGTCTGTTGTTATTTCTCCTACAGGAGATCGCTGTTTTTTTGGTTTTTCGTACAAATGGTGTTCAATTTTTGGTTCCAGAGCTAAGTCTTCCACTTTAGTTTTTTTCTCTTGCGTGTTTGGTTGTTCAGCCAGTTTTTCCAATTCGTCTGGTGAACAATCGTCTAAGCCCGAGCCGGGTGGAAGGTAAGTAATTTGTGTTCGAACATCTTTTGTAGTTTCAACTGTACCATTATCATGTGAATTTTCTGTAATGGTTTCAGTTACAGTTTTCACTGCTCCTTCTTTTGTTTCATTATTCTTGTATTCCTCTTTCGTTATATACGTAGTAATAGTTTGAGTAATTTTTTCGTTGCTTTCTGATAAAATAATGTTAGTTTTCTTGTCAACCGAATTCTTAACTTTACCGGTTGATATAAAACCATTGAGAGCGGCTTCCAAGTCACTCTCTGACGTTTTTTGAAATTCAGAAATTGTTATTTTGACGTCCTTAGTAGTTTCAACTGATCCGTCTGGATACTCATCAACCGTTATTGTTTCTACAGTAGTTCGCACTCTTTTTATATCCTTGTCCCTACTTGCTAAAGTATCACGCTTTGTTTTTGTAGTAATTGTGCGTTTAATTGTTGTTGAGCCCCGCTGTAAAATTTCATTTTTAATATCTGATTCCTCGTTCGTGTCTTCTACTATTTCTGTATCTTCTGTTCCAGATTCTGGCGATTCTGCCTCCGACTTTTCTTGCAACTTTTCTGAAACAATATCTTCGATTGAAATTTCCTCTAAATTTTTAGTTACTATTTCGCCATCCGGAAGTTCGTCTTCTATTGATGTTTGTACTATATTTTTAACTTTTCTTGATTTGTATAAAGTATTTTCATATTCCTGTTTGGTGGTAGTTATCGTCGTTTTTCTCTTTAAAGGAATACCATTTTCTTCAATTTGCTCTAAATAAGATTTTGTATCAATATAAGGTTTTCCTATTTCATTATAATTTTTTAGGAGTTCCTCAAATGATTCATCTCCAAAATCTGCTATAGAAACTTTAACATCTTTAGCAACTTCTACAACACCGTTAGGTAATATAGATTTAGTAATTGTCTCCACAGTTGTTCGAATTTTATTCTTTGTTTCTTCAGTTGATGGTAAAATTTCTTTTGTAGTAATTGTGGTTACTTCCTGTTGAACCTCTTTACCATCTCTGCAGACTGTTTTCAATTTTGTTTCTACATTTACTGACTTATCATCATTATTTGATGATTTAAATAAAGAATCTTTATGTAATATTTCTTTTGAATCAATTTCTGATAAAGACGTACTTATATCTACAGTTGTACGAGATGAACCATCTGGATATTGGTCTGTGGTTGTAATAGTTTTCACGATTTTTCTTCTTGAAAGCACCCCGTGAATGTCAGAATAGTTAGTTGTATTAGTTTTAGTTACTATAGTCCTTTGAATAAGTAAATCGTTTTCTAGTACTTCTTTCTTTTCTCTGGTTTCACTTTCCTCTGGATTGCCTATAGGCAAGAGACCGTTTAATAAACTATCAATTTTGTTAGTATTTGAATAAGATTCTTTATATAATGTACCATCATTAGAAATATCGGAAAATTCTAAATCGTCCTCTGTGATAGAAACTTTTTCATTAGTTTTCATTGTGACTGTACCGTCAGGGTATTCATCTTCTGTTACAATTTTGGTTGTTGTTTTCAATCTCTTCAATTTTTTATCTATATTGTGATAATACTGTTTGATTATAGTAGTCGTAGTTTTTCTTTTTATTGGTAAGCCAAATTCTATAATAGTTTCTGTTTCTGTCTTTGTATCTTCTTGTGGTTCTCCTACTAAAATAAATCCATCAGGAATTTCCTGCTCAAATTTATTATTGTAGTCGGAAATTGAAATTTTAATATCTTTAGTTATTTCAGTAATGCCGTCTGGTAATTTTGATTCAGTGACTGTTTCCACCGTAGTCTTCACTTTTTTCTTAGATTTATCTTTAGTACTTAATATTTCCTTGGTTGTAGTAGTAGTTATAATCTGCGTAACGCTTTTTCCGTTAATTATAGTATCTTTTTCTTGACGATTTACATTTACAGACTTATCCTCTAGTATAGAATAGTTAGAAAGCTCCGATGGTTCAATTACATCTTCAGCCTGTATATCTGCCAGTGATGTACTAGTATCAACTTTGGTTTGAGTAGAACCATCTGGGTATTCATCTGTTGTTGTTACCATTGTTATAGTCTTTATTTTTCTTAGAATATTTTTTTTATCGATATATTTAATAGTTATAGTTTTTGTAGAAATTGTTCGTGTAATAACAATGTCATCACACGTGATAGTTTCAGTTTTTGTTGATACATTTTCTTCCGGTTCCCCGTATACTGTTAAGTTGCAAAGTAATTTATCGAGATTGCTACTTGAATCAATAGTAACTTCTTCAGTCTTCACTCCCACGGTCTTTTGAACAGCTTTGGCACCTCCAGGGAATTCTCGCGTTGTATTCGTTTCAATCGTGGTTTTAATAATTTTCTTATTATTATCAATTCGTATTATTTCTTTTTTAGTAGTGGTAGCAGTGGTTTCAATTACATCGATACCATTTTCTTTAATTACTTTCTTGCTGATGTCTGTGTCTATAACCGTGTCTTCTACATTGGAATCAGTCTCATCATCTTCCTTAATATACTCTGATTTTAAAACACTTTCCCTCATCGGTCCCTTACTTTCCATAAATGATTGGTGATCATGTAGTTGTCCAGTACTACTTTCATAGGTTTGACACATGCTTTCTGAATCAGATTTATCATCCCCATTCTCAAATTTATCAAACTTTCTATCCTTATCATATAAATCCATTTGAGAAGTGGATCGAAGTGAAGAAGAACATTCTGACAACAACGTTTGAGTATCCGTTGTACTTGTTATTGAGCCATCAGAACTCTTGCTTAGTGTAGTGGTTTCAATAGTAGTTTTAACATTTTGAGGTGTGCCATCTTCTCTTGAAATGATTTCTTTTGTTGTTACAGTCGTTATAGTTTGTGTTACGACATTTTCTCCTTCTTTTATTATTTTTGTTGTAGTATCAGTTTCTGTTTTTATTTTACCCATTGTTTGCATAAGAGATAAAATATCAGAATCACTATCGTATTCTTCCTTGTCATTTTTAAGCGGTTTGGGCACTTTTTCAGTCGAAGTTGAAATCTTTTGAGTTAAAACATCTTCTCCAACATGAACGATTTTTGTTATTGTTTCTTCAGCTCCTTCTAACTTGTCGTATTTTACCTCACTCTGAATACCGTCACTTACTTTTATATCTTGAAAACTACTAGGAATATTTGGAAGAGGACTAACGGGTGCAGTAGGAGGAGTTGATACCCTATCAAACCTTGAGTGCGTTGATATTGATTCTAAATCTTCTGTTTTAATTCCTTGCTGTACGGTTTCGTCTGTAAATGCTTTGTTAATATTTTCAATAAGTGATGTGACTGCTGATTCCTGTCCTTTTTTAGATAATTCCTTAGTCTGAATGTCAACCTTAGAGCCAGTCTTATCCATTGATATACTTCTATTTTCGGAAGCTTCTGTGTTTGTGTCTATACATGTATCCTGTTTGATATTAGCAAAACTAATAGGTTGCTTGCTTGTAGATTGCAGGGAATCTGTATAACTACTGAACTCACCGGAAGTCGATCTTTGATCTACTTCCTGAGACGAAAGGATTTGGTCAACCAAAGATTTCTTATCCGATTTTTCGGTGCTTTCAAAACTGTATTTCTCTTCTAAACTAACTTCCTTCGATACATCCTCAGAACTGCTACATTGCAACAAAGTATGTGTAATACTGTCTCTATCAATGATCCCGCTATCAATTGTAGAAATTGAAGAAAATTTATCATCAAAGTCATGAATATTTACATCTTTAGTGGTCTTAGTATTAAAGTTCATGTTAGAAATATGGGACCTTTCCTCAGCCAACAATTTTTCTGTTTCTTTAATAAGTTTTGCAGCGGGCGACTGATAGATATCGCTATAAGTATCTTTAACTCCAGATAGATCTACAAAGGATTCCTTGGTTGATTTACTATCTACAACTTCCTCCCCTTTATTTTCTTTTTGTGACAATATTTTCCTTTTACTATCTACATATTCTTCTTGTTTAGAATCTTTGCCAAGAAATAGTAATTTAGATTCAGAATTATCAGTAGGTGACGTTTTTTCAGGAATAAACATCCCTTCAGAATCATATTCTAACTCAAATTCATGTGACTTAGAGTGACCATTTAAGTATACCGTGGAATCAGTTCCATTTTCAACCATAGTCATTCGATTAGAAATTATTTTTTCGTGCTTTGAAGAATCTTGTTTCAATAAATCATCACATTTATCGTCTTCAGTTCGTTCAGTGACATTGTCTGTCGGCTCAAAGTCACTGACAATGACTTTCGTGTCTGTTGTAGAACGTGAGGATCCATCTGGATACAAGTCCATTGTTGTGATGGTGGTGATTGTTTTTACCTTTTTAGTTATATTTTGAAAATCAGCAAACAAGGTTCTTGCAGTTTCTGTCTTAATAGTTCTTACAATTTTAAAATTGTTATCCTCAATTTCTTCTACTATACATTTTTCACTTATTTCCGGTTCACCTTGTGAAATAAGACCTTCTAATACTTCGTTGATTGCAAATGTTTTAGGTATCTTTTGATCTAAAATTTCAATTGTGCTTAATAATTTTTCTTCCGACATATGAAGATTTTCTTCAACGACTGTAAGTTTTTCGCTAGATTTTGTTTTGATGGACCCATCGGGATACTCATCCTCAATTATGGTTTTAACAACTGTTTCCGTTCTTTTTATGTTTCGTAAGGAATTATACAACTCTTTTTTTGTGGTTTTTATAATGGTCTTTCTATTAATAATAAATCCATCTTCAACCACGGTCATAGTTTCTTCAGACGTGTGTTCCTCTGGTGATTTCATTAACATAAAACGGTCACGATCTTTCAACTTTTCTTTAGAAAGCGCTTTGTCCTCAACGTCTTCTGAACTAAGTGATAATTGTTCCACTTTTTCAGTGATAGTTGTGTCTTTTGCACTTATAGCTTCCATTTGAATTTCTTTTTTTTCTTGGCTGAAAGCTCAAAGTCCATCGCTTCGTTAGGGTATGGTGTCTGCCGTTTCGACATTTCCTTCAGTGGACCTTTTACTTCAATTTCCATTTGAGTAGGTGTCTTCTCTTTTACAGTGTCAGTAACGATTGCCTCCTTTGCACTAGTATACTCCTTTGACATTCGTTTTTTAGTTTCTCCTGAAAGCTCCTTGTCCGGAATTTCAACGTGGCTTGGTGTCTGCTGTTTTGGAATTTCTTTAAGTGGAACTTTCTCTTCACTTCCCATTGGACTAGGTGTCGTCGCATTTAGAGTATCAGTACCAATGGCCTCCTTCGGAATTATCACCTCCTTTGGCATTTCTTTCTTAGCTCCCTCTGTAAGCTCTTTGTCCAGTTTTTCAACTGGGCTTGGTGTCTGCTCTTTCGGTATTTCTTTAAGTGGAACTTTTTCATCAATTTCAATGGGACTAGGTGTAGTCGCCTTTAGAGTATCAGTACCAATGGCCTCCTTCGGAATTGTGACCTCCTTTGGCCTTCTTTCTTAGTTCCTTCTGTAAGCTCTTTGTCCAATTTTTCAACTGGGCTTGGTGTCTGCTCTTTCGGCATTTCTTTAAGTGGAACTTTATCATCAATTTCAATTGGACTAGGTGTAGTCGCCTTTAGAGTATCAGTACCTATGGCCTCCTTCGGAATTGTCACCTCCTTTGGCATTTCTTTCTTAGTTTCTTCTGTAAGCTCTTTGTCCAATTTTTCAACTGGGCTTGGTGTCTGCTCTTTTGGTACTTCTTTAAGTGTAATATTTTCTTCAATTTCAATTGGACTATGTGTCGTCGCCTTAAGAGTATCAGTACCAATGGCCTCCTTCGGAATTGTGACCTCCATTGGCCTTTCTTTCTTAGTTCCTTCTGTAAGCTCTTTGTCCAATTTTTCAACTGGGCTTGGTGTCTGCTCTTTCGGCATTTCTTTAAGTGGAACTTTATCATCAATTTCAATTGGACTAGGTGTCGTTGCCTTAAGAGTATCAGTACCAATGGCCTCCTTCGGAATTATCACCTCCTTTGGCATTTCTTTCTTAGCTCCTTCTGTAAGCTCTTTGTCCAGTTTTTCAACTAGGCTTGGTGTCTGCTCTTTCGGTATTTCTTTAAGTGGAACTTTTTCATCAATTTCAATTGGACTAGGTGTAGTCGCCTTTAGAGTATCAGTACCAATGGCCTCCTTCGGAATTGTGACCTCCTTTGGCCTTTCTTTCTTAGTTCCTTCTGTAAGCTCTTTGTCCAATTTTTCAACTGGGCTTGGTGTCTGCTCTTTCGGCATTTCTTTAAGTGGAACTTTATCATCAATTTCAATTGGACTAGGTGTAGTCGCCTTTAGAGTATCAGTACCTATGGCCTCCTTCGGAATTGTCACCTCCTTTGGCATTTCTTTCTTAATTTCTTCTGTAAGCTCCTTGTCCAATTTATCAACTGGGCTTGGTGTCTGCTCTTTCGGCATTTCTTTAAGTGGAACTTTTTCATCAATTTCAATTGGACTAGGTGTCGTCGCCTTTAGAGTACCAGTACCTATGGCATCCTTCGGAATCGTCACCTCCTTTGGCATTTCTTTCTTAGTTCCTTCTGTAAGCTCTTTGTCCAATTTTTCAACTGGGCTTGGTGTCTGCTCTTTCGGCATTTCTTTAAATGGAACTTTTTCATCAATTTCAATTGGACTACGTGTAGTCGCCTTTAGAGTATCAGTACCAATGGCCTCCTTCGGAATTGTGACCTCCTTTGGCCTTTCTTTCTTAGTTTCTTCTGTAAGCTCTTTGTCCAATTTTTCAGTTGGACTTGGTGTCTGCTCTTTCGGCATTTCTTTAAGTAGAACTTTTTCATCAATTTCAATTGGACTAGGTGTCGTCGCCTTTAGAGTATCAGTACCAATGGCCTCCTTCGGAATTGTCAACACCTTTGGCATTTCTTTCTTAGCTCCTTCTGTAAGCTCTTTGTCCAATTTTTCAACTGGGCTTGGTAACTGCTCTTTCGGCATTTCTTTAAGTAGAACTTTTTCATCAATTTCAATTGAACTAGGTGTCGTCGCCTTTAGAGTATCAGTACCAATGGCCTCCTTCGGAATTGTCACCACCTTTGGCATTTCTTTCTTAGTTTCTTCTGTAAGCTCGTTGTCCAATTTTTCAACTGGGCTTGGTAACTGCTCTTTCGGCATTTCTTTAAGTGGAACTTTTTCATCAATTTCAATTGGACTAGGTGTCATCGCCTTTAGAGTATCAGTACCAATGGCCTCCTTCGGAATTGTCACCACCTTTGGCATTTCTTTCTTAGTTTCTTCTGTAAGCTCTTTGTCCAATTTATCAACTGGGCTTGGTAACTGCTCTTTCGGCATTTCTTTAAGTGTAACTTTTTCTTCAATTTCAATTGTACTAGGTGTCGTCGCCTTTAGAGTATCAGTACCAATGGCCTTCTTCGGAATTGTCACCTCCTTTGGCATTTCTTTCATAGTTTCTTCTGTAAGCTCCTTGTGCAATTTGTCAACAGGGCTTGGTGTCTGCTCTTTCGGCAATTCTTTAAGTGGAACTTTTTCTTCAATTTCAATTGGACTATGTTCCGTCGCCTTTAGAGTATCAGTACCAATGGCCTCCTTCGGAATCGTCATCTCCTTTGGAATTTCTTTCTTAGTTCCTTCTGTAAGCTCTTTGTCCAATTTTTCAACCGGGCTTGGTGTCTGCTCTTTTGGCATTTCTTTAAGTGGAACTTTTTCATCAAATTCAATTGGACTAGGTTTCGTCGCCTTTAGAGTATCAGTACCAATGGCCTCCTTCGGAATAGTCACCACCTTTGGCATTTCTTTGTTAATTACTTCTGTAAGCTCTTTGTCCAATTTTTCAACTGGGCTTGGTGTCTGCTCTTTTGGCATTTCTTTAAGTGTAACTCTTTCTTCAATTTCAATTGGACTAGGTGTCGTCGCCTTTAGAGTATCAGTACCAATGGCCTCCTTCGGAATCGTCACCTCCTTTGGAATTTCTTTCTTAGTTCCTTCTGTAAGCTCTTTGTCTAATTTATCAACTGGCCTTGGTGTCTGCTCTTTTGGCATTTCTTTAAGCGTAACTTTTTCTTCAATTTCAATTGGACTATGTGTCGTCGCTTTTAGAGTATCAGTACCAATGGCCTCCGTCGGAATTTTCACCTCCCTTGGCATTTCTTTCTTAGTTTCTTCTGTAAGCTCTTTGTCCAATTTTTCAACTGGGCTTGGTGTCTGCTCTTTCGGCATTTCTTTAAGTGTAACTTTTTCTTCAATTTCAATTGGACTATGTGTCGGCGCCTTTAAAGTATCAGTACCAGTGGCCTCCTTCGGAATTGTCACCTCCTTTGGCATTTCTTTCTTAGTTTCTTCTGTAAGCTCTATGTCCAACTTTTCAACTGGGCTTGGTGTCTGCTCTTTCGGCATTTCTTTAAGTGTAACTTTTTCTTCAATTTCAATTGGACTATGTGTCGGCGCCTTTAGAGTATCAGTAACAGTGGCCTCCTTCGGAATTGTCACCTCCTTTGGCATGTCTTTCTTAGTTTCTTCTGTAAGCTCTTTGTCCAATTTTTCAACTGGGCTTGGTGTCCGCTCTTTTGGCATTTCTTTAAGTGGAACTTTTTCATCAATTTCGATTGGACTATGTGCCGTCGCCTTTAGAGTATAAGTACCAGTGTCCTCTTTCGGAATTGTCACCTCCTTTGGCATTTCTTTCTTAGTTTCTTCTGTAAGCTCTTTGTCCAATTTTTCAACTGGACTAGGTGTCTGCTCCTTTGGCATTTCTTTAAGTGTAACTTTTTCTTCAATTTCAATTGGACTAAGTGTCGTCGCCTTTAGAGTATCAGAACCAATAGCCTCATTCGGAATCGTCACCTCCTTTGGCATTTCTTTCTTAGTTTCTTCTGTAAGCTCTTTGTCCAATTTTTCAACTGGGCTTTGTGTCTGCTCTTTCGGCGTTTCTTTAAGTGTAACTTTTTCTTCAATTTCAATTGGACTATGTGTCGGCGCCTTTAAAGTATCAGTAGCAGTGGCCTCCTTCGGAATTGTCACCTCCTTTGGCATTTCTATCTTAGTTTCTTCTGTAAGCTCTTTGTCCAATTTTTCAACTGGGCTTGGTGTCTGCTCTTTTGGCATTTCTTTAAGTGTAACTTTTTTTTCAATTTCAGTTGGACTATGTATCGTCGCCTTTAGAGTATCAGTACCAATGGCCACCTTCAGAATCGTCACCTCCTTTGGCATTTCTTTCTTAGTTCCTTCTGTAAGCCCTTTGTCCAATTTTTCAACTGGGCTTGGTGTCTGCTCTTTCGGCATTTCTTTAAGTGGAACTTTTTCATCAATTTCATTTGGACGAGGAGTCGTAGCCTTTAGAGTATCGGCACCAATGGCCTCCTTCGGAATCGTCACCTCCTTTGGCATTTCTTTCTTGGTTTCTTCTGTAAGCTCTTTGTCCAATTTTTCTACTGGGCTTGGTGTCTGCTCTTTCGGCATTTCTTTAAGTGGAACTTTTTCATCAATTTCAATTGGACTATGTGTCGTCACTTTTAGAGTATCAGTACCAATGGCCTCCTTCGGAATTGTCACCTCCTTTGGCATTTGTTTCTTAGTTGCTCCTGTAAACTCTTTGTCCAATTTTTCTACTGGGCTTGGTGTCTGCTCTTTCGGCATTTCTTTAAGTGGAACTTTTTCATCAATTTCAATTGGACTAGGAGTCGTCGCCTTTAGAGTATCAGTACCAATGACCTCCTTCGGAATTGTCACCTCCTTTGGCATTTCTTTCTTAGTTTCTTCTGTAAGCTCTTTGTACGAATTTTCATCAGGGCTTGGTGTCTGCCCTTTTGGCATTTCTTTAAGTGTAACTTTTTCATCAATTTCAATCGGACTATGTCTCGTCGCCCTTAGAGTATCAGTACCAATGGCCTCCTTCTGAATCGTCACCTCCTTTGGCATTTCTTTCTTAGTTCCCTCTGTAAGCTCTTTTTCCAATTTTTCAACTGGGCTTGGTGTCTGCTCTTTCGGCATTCCTTTAAGTGGAACTTTTACATCAATTTCAATTGGACTAGGAGTCGTAGCCTTTAGAGTATCAGTACCAATGGCCTCCTTCGGAATTGTCACCTCCTTTGGCATTTCTTTCTTAATTTCTTCTGTAAGCTCTTTGTCAAATTTTACTACTGGGCTTGGTGTCTGCTCTTTCGGCATTTCTTTAAGTGGAACTTTTTCATCAATTTCAATTGAAATATGTGTCGTCGCCTTTAGAGTATCAGTACCAATGGCCTCCTTCGGTATTGTCACCTCCTTTGGCATTTCTTTCTTAGTTCCCTCTGTAAGCTCTTTGTCCAATATTTCAACTGGACTTGGTGTCTGCTTTTTCGGCATTTCTTTAAGTGGAACTTTTTCATCACTTTCAATTGGACTATGTGTCGTCGCCTTAAGAGTATCAGTACCAATGGCCTCCTTCGGAATTGTCACCTCCTTTGGCATTTCTTTCTTAGTTTCTTTCGTAAGCTCTTTGTCCAATTTTTCAACTGGGCTTGGTGTCTGCTCTTTTGGCATTTCTTTAAGTGAAACTTTTTCTTCAATTTTAATTGGACTAGGTGTCGTCGCCTTTAGAGTATCAGTACCACTGGCCTCCTTCGGAATCGTCACCTCCTTTTGCATTTTTTCCTTAGTTTCTTCTGTAAGCTCTTTGTCCAATTTTTCAACTGAGCTTGGTGTGTGCTCTTTTGGCAATTCTTTAAGTGTTACTTTTTCTTCAATTTCAATTGGACTAGGTGTCGTCGCCTTTGGAGTATCAGTACCAATGGCCTCCTTCGGAATTGTCACTTCCTTTGGCATTTCCTTCTTAGCTTCTTCTGTAAGCTCTTTGTACAATTTTTCAACTGGGCTTGGTGTCTGCTTTTTCGGCATTTCTTTAAGTGGAACTTTTTCATCAATTTCAATTGGACTAGGTGTCGTCGCCTTTAGAGTATCAGTACCAATGGCCTCCTTCAGAATTATCACCTCCTTTTGCATTTCTTCCTTAGTTTCTTCTGTAAGCTCTTTGACGAATTTTTCAACTGGGCTTGGTTTCTGCTCTTTTGACATTTCTTTATGTGTAACCTTTTCATCAATTTCAATTGGACTAGCTGTCGTCGCCCTTAGAGTATCAGTACCAATGGAATCCTTCGGAATTGTCACCTCCTTTGGCATTTCTTTCTTAGTTGCTCCTGTAAACTCTTTGTCCAATTTTTCTACTGGGCTTGGTGTCTGCTCTTTCGGCATTTCTTTAAGTGGAACTTTTTCTTCAATTTCAATTGGAATAGGTGTCGTCGCCTTTATAGTATCAGTACCAATGACCTCCTTCGGAATTGTCACCTCCTTTGGCATTTCTCTCTTAGTTTCTTTTGGAAGCTCTTTGTCCGAAATTTCATCAGGGCTTGGTGTCTGCCCTTTTGGCATTTCTTTAAGTGTAACTTTTTCTTCAATTTCAATTGGACTAGGTGTCGTCGCCTTTAGATTTTCAGTACCAATGGCATCCTTCGGAATTGTCACCTCCTTTGACATTAAGTTCTTAGTTCCTTCTTTAAGCTTTTCGTCCAATTTTTCAACTGGGCTTGGTGTCTGCTCTTTCGGCATTTCTTTAAGTGGAACTTTTTCATCAATTTCAATTGGACTATGTGTCGTCGCCTTTAGAGTATCAGTACCAATGGCCTCCTTCGGAATTGTCACCTCCTTTGGCAATTCTTTCTTAGTTTCTTCTGTAAGCTCTTTGTCCAATTTTTCAACTGGGCTTGGTGTCTGCTCTTTTGGTATTTCTTTAAGTGGAACTTTTTCATCAATTTCAATTGGACTATGTGTCGTCGCCTTTAGAGTATCAGTACCAATGGACTCCTTCGGAATTGTCACCTCCTTTGGCATTTCTTTCTTAGTTTCTTTCGTAAGCTCTTTGTCCAAAATTTCAACAAGGCTTGGTGTCTGCTCTTTCGTCATTTCTTTAAGTGTAACTTTTTCATCAATTTCAATTGGACTAGGTGTCGTCGCCTTTAGAGTATCAGTACCAATGGCCTCCTTCGGAATTGTCACCTCCTTTGGCATTTTCTTTCTTAGTTTCTTCTGTAAGCTCTTTGTCCGAAATTTCAACAGGGCTTGCTGTCTGCTCTTTCGGTATTTCTTTAAGTGGAACTTTTTCATCAATTTCAATTGGACTAGCTGTCGTCGCCTTTAGAATATCAGTACCAATGGCCTCCTTCGGAATTGTCACCTCCTTTGGCATTTCTTTCTTAGTTTCTTCTGTAAGCTCTTTGTCCAATTTTTCAACTGGGCTTGGTGTCTGCTCTTTAGGCATTTCTTTAAGTGGAACTTTTTCATCAATTTCAATTGGACTATGTGACGTCGCCTTTAGAGAAACAGTAACAATGGCCTCCTTCGGAATCGTCACCTTCTTTGGCATTTCTTTCTTAGTTCCTTCTGTAAGCTCTTTGTCCAGTTTTTCAACTGGGCTTGGTGTCTGCTCTTTCGGCATTTCTTTAAGTGGAACTTTTTCATCAATTTCAATTAGACTATGTATCGTCGCTTTTAGAGTAGCAGTACCAATGGCCTCCTTCGGAATTGTCACCTCCTCTGACATTTCTTTCTTAGTTCGTTCTTTAATCTCTTCGTCCAATTTTTCAATTGGGCTTGGTTTCTGCTCTTTCGGCATTTCTTTAAGTAGAATTTTTTCATCAATTTCAATTGGAATAGGTGTCGTCACCATTGGAGTATCAGTACCAATGGCCTCCTTAGGAATTGTCACCTTCTCTGGCATTTCTTTCTTAGTTCCTTCTGTAAGCTCTTTGTCCAATTTTTCAACTGGGCTTTGTGTCCGCTCTTTCGGCATTTCTTTAAGTATAACTTTTTCTTCAATTTCAATTGGACTAGGTGTCGTCGCCTTTAGAGTATCAGTGACAATGGCCTCCTTCACAATTGTCGTCTCCCTTGGCATTTCTTTTGGAAGCTCTTTGTCCGAAATTGCAACGGGACTTGGTGTATGCCCTTTTGGCATTCCTTTAAGTGTAACTTTTTCATCAATTTCAATTGGACTAGGTGTCGTCGCCTTTAGAGTATCAGTACCAATGGCCTCCTTCGGAATTGTCACCTCCTTTGACATTACTTTCTTAGTTCCTTCTTTAAGCTCTTCGTCCAATTTTTCAACTGGGCTTGGTGTCTGCTCTTTCGGCATTTCTTTATGTGGAACTTTTTCATCAATTTCAATTGGACTAGGTGTCGTCGCCTTTAGAGTATCAGTACCAATGGCCTCCTTCGGAATTGTCACCTCCTTTGGCATTTCTTTCTTAGTTTCTTCTGTAAGCTCTTTGTCCAATGTTTTAACTGAGCTTGGTGTCTGCTCTTTTGGCAATTCTTTAATTGTAACTTTTTCTTCAATTTCAATTGGACTAGGTGTCTTCGCCTTTAAAGTATCAGTACCAATGGCCTCCTTCGGAATCGTCACCTCCTTTGGCATTTCTTTCATAGTTTCTTCCGTAAGCTCTTTGTCCAATTTTTCTACTGGGCTTGGTGTCTGCTCTTTCGGCATTTCTTTATGTGGAACTTTTTCATCAATTTCAATTGGACTAGGTGTCGTCGCCCTTAGAGTATCAGTACTAATAGCTTCTTTCGGAATTGTCACCTCCTTTGACATGTCTTTCTTAGTTCCTTCTTTAAGCTCTTTGTCCAATTTTTCAACTGGGCTTGGTGTCTGCTCTTTCGGCATTTCTTTAAGTGTAACTTTTTCTTCGATTTCAATTGGACTAGGTGTCATCGCCTTTAGAGTATCAGTACCAATGGCCTCCTTCGGAATTGTCACCTCCTCTGACACGCCTTTCTTAGTTTCTTCTGTAAGCTCTTCGTCCAATTTTTTAATAAGTGTAACTTTTTCTTCAATTTCAATTGGACTAGGTGTCGTCGCCTTTAAAGTATCAGTACCAATGGCCTCCTTCGGAATTGTCACCTCCTTTGACATGCCTTTATTAGTTTCTTCTGTAAGCTCTTCGTCCAATTTTTCAACTGGGCTTGGTGTCCGCTCCTTCGGAATTTCTTTATGTGTAACTTTTTCTTCAATTTCAATTGGACTAGGTGTCGTCGCCTTTAAAGTATCTGTACCAATGGCCTCCTTCGGAATTGTCACCTCCTTTGGCATTTCTTTCTTAGTTTCTTCTTTAAGCTCTTCGTCCAATTTTTTAACTTGTCCCTTCTTCTATGTGTAACTTTTTCTTCGATTTCAATTGGACTAGGTGTCATCTCCTTTAGAGTATCAGTACCAATGGCCTCCTTCGGAATTGTCACCTCCTTTGGCATTCCTTTCTTAGTTTCTTCCGTAAGCTCTTCGTCCAATTTTTCAACTGGGCTTGGTGTATGCTCCTTTGGCATTTCTTTAAGTGTAACTTTTTCTTCAATTTCAATTGGACTAGGTGTCGTCGCCTTTAAAGTATCTGTACCAATGGCCTCCTTCGGAATTGTCACCTCCTCTGGCATGCCTTTCTTAGTTTCTTCTGTAAGCTCTTTGTCCAATTTTTTAATAAGTGTAACTTTTTCTTCAATTTCAATTGGACTAGGTGTCGTCGCCTTTAAAGTATCAGTACCAATGGCCTCCTTCGGAATTGTCACCTCCTTTGGCATTTCTTTCTTAGTTTCTTCCGTAAGCTCTTTGTCCAATTTTTCTACTGGGCTTGGTGTCTGCTCTTTCGGCATATCTTTAAGTGTAACTTTTTCATCGATTTCAATTGGACTAGGTGTCGTGTCCCTTAGAGTATCAGTACCAATGGCCTCCTTCGGAATTGTCACCTCCTTTGACATGCCTTTCTTAGTTTCTTCTGTAAGCTCTTCGTCCAATTTTTCAACTGGGCTTGGTGTCTGCTCTTTCGGCATTTCTTTATGTGGAACTTTTTCTTCGATTTCAATTGGACTAGGTGTCATCGCCCTTAGAGTATCAGTACCAATGGCTTCTTTCGGAATTGTCACCTCCTTTGGCATTTCTTTCTTAGTTTCTTCTGTAAGCTCTTCGTCCAATTTTTCTACTGGGCTTGGTGTCTGCTCTTTCGGCATTTCTTTATGTGTAACTTTTTCTTCGATTTCAATTGGACTAGGTGTCATCTCCTTTAGAGTATCAGTACCAATGGCCTCCTTCGGAATTGTCACCTCCTTTGACATGCCTTTCTTAGTTTCTTCTGTAAGCTCTTCGTCCAATTTTTCAACTGGGCTTGGTGTCTGCTCTTTCGGCATTTCTTTAAGTGTAACTTTTTCTTCGATTTCAATTGGACTAGGTGTCGTCGCCCTTAGAGTATCAGTACCAATAGCCTCCTTCGGAATTGTCACCTCCTTTGACATGCCTTTCTTAGTTCCTTCTGTAAGCTCTTCGTCCAATTTTTCAACTGGGCTTGGTGTCCGCTCTTTTGGCATTTCTTTAAGTGTAACTTTTTCTTCGATTTCAATTGGACTAGGTGTCGTCTCCTTTAGAGTATCAGTACCAATGGCCTCCTTCGGAATTGTCACCTCCTTTGACATGCCTTTATTAGTTTCTTCTGTAAGCTCTTCGTCCAATTTTTCAACTGGGCTTGGTGTCCGCTCTTTCGGAATTTCTTTATGTGGAACTTTTTCTTCGATTTCAATTGGACTAGGTGTCGTCTCCTTTAGAGTATCAGTACCAATGGCCTCCTTCGGAATTGTCACCTCCTTTGACATGCCTTTCTTCGTTTCTTCTGTAAGCTCTTCGTCCAATTTTTCAACTGGGCTTGGTGTATGCTCTTTTGGCATTTCTTTAAGTGTAACTTTTTCTTCAATTTCAATTGAACTAGGTGTCGTCGCCTTTAAAGTATCTGTACCAATGGCCTCCTTCGGAATTGTCACCTCCTTTGGCATTTCTTTCTTAGTTTCTTCTGTAAGCTCTTTGTCCAATTTTTTAATAAGTATAACTTTTTCTTCAATTTCAATTGGACTAGGTGTCGTCGCCTTTAAAGTATCAGTACCAATGGCCTCCTTTGGAATTGTCACCTCCTTTGGCATTTCTTTCTTAGTTTCTTCCGTAAGCTCTTTGTCCAATTTTTCTACTGGGCTTGGTGTCTGCTCTTTCGGCATATCTTTATGTGGAACTTTTTCATCAATTTCAATTGGACTAGGTGTTGTCGCCTTTAGAGTATCAGTACTAATGGCTTCTTTCGGAATTGTCACCTCCTTTGACATGTCTTTCTTAGTTTCTTCTTTAAGCTCTTCGTCCAATTTTTCAACTGGGCTTGGTGTCTGCTCTTTCGGCATTTCTTTATGTGGAACTTTTTCATCAATTTCAATTGGACTAGGTGTCGTCGCCCTTAGAGTATCAGTACTAATAGCTTCTTTCGGAATTGTCACCTCCTTTGACATGTCTTTCTTAGTTCCTTCTTTAAGCTCTTCGTCCAATTTTTCAACTGGGCTTGGTGTCTGCTCTTTTGGCATTTCTTTAAGTGTAACTTTTTCTTCAATTTCAATTGGACTAGGTGTCGTCGCCTTTAAAGTATCTGTACCAATGGCCTCCTTCGGAATTGTCACCTCCTTTGACATGCCTTTCTTAGTTTCTTCTGTAAGCTCTTTGTCCAATTTTTCAACTGGGCTTGGTGTCTGCTCTTTCGGCATTTCTTTATGTGGAACTTTTTCATCAATTTCAATTGGACTAGGTGTCGTCGCCTTTAGAGTATCAGTACTAATGGTTTCTTTCGGAATTGTCACCTCCTTTGGCATTTCTTTCTTAGTTCCTTCCGTAAGTTCTTTGTCCAATTTTTCAACTGGGCTTGGTGTCTTCTCTTTAGTCATTTCTTTATGTGTAACTTTTTCTTCGATTTCAATTGGACTAGGTGTCATCTCCTTTAGAGTATCAGTACCAATGGCCTCCTTCGGAATTGTCACCTCCTTTGACATGCCTTTCTTCGTTTCTTCTGTAAGCTCTTCGTCCAATTTTTCAACTGGGCTTGGTGTATGCTCCTTTGGCATTTCTTTAAGTGTAACTTTTTCTTCAATTTCAATTGGACTAGGTGTCGTCGCCTTTAAAGTATCTGTACCAATGGCCTCCTTCGGAATTGTCACCTCCTTTGGCATTTCTTTCTTAGTTTCTTCTGTAAGCTCTTTGTCCAATTTTTTAATAAGTGTAACTTTTTCTTCAATTTCAATTGGACTAGGTGTCGTCGCCTTTAAAGTATCAGTACCAATGGCCTCCTTCGGAATTGTCACCTCCTTTGGCATTTCTTTCTTAGTTTCTTCCGTAAGCTCTTTGTCCAATTTTTCTACTGGGCTTGGTGTCTGCTCTTTTGGCATTTCTTTAAGTGTAACTTTTTCTTCGATTTCAATTGGACTAGGTGTCGTCTCCTTTAGAGTATCAGTACCAATGGCCTCCTTCGGAATTGTCACCTCCTTTGGCATTTCTTTCTTAGTTTCTTCTGTAAGCTCTTTGTCCAATTTTTCTACTGGGCTTGGTGTCTGCTCTTTTGGCATTTCTTTAAGTGTAACTTTTTCTTCGATTTCAATTGGACTAGGTGTCGTCTCCTTTAGAGTATCAGTACCAATGGCCTCCTTCGGAATTGTCACCTCCCTTGACATGCCTTTCTTAGTTTCTTCTGTAAGCTCTTCGTCCAATTTTTCAACTGGGCTTGGTGTCTGCTCTTTCGGCATTTCTTTATGTGGAACTTTTTCTTCGATTTCAATTGGACTAGGTGTCGTCTCCGTTAGAGTATCAGTACAAATGGCATCCTTCGGAATTGTCACCTCCTTTGACATGCCTTTCTTAGTTCCTTCTGTAAGCTCTTCGTCCAATTTTTCAACTGGGCTTGGTGTCCGCTCTTTCGGCATTTCTTTATGTGGAACTTTTTCTTCGATTTCAATTGGACTAGGTGTCGTCGCCCTTAGAGTATCAGTACTAATAGCTTCTTTCGGAATTGTCACCTCCTTTGACATGTCTTTCTTAGTTCCTTCTTTAAGCTCTTCGTCCAATTTTTCAACTGGGCTTGGTGTCCGCTCTTTTGGCATTTCTTTAAGTGTAACTTTTTCTTCGATTTCAATTGGACTAGGTGTCGTCTCTTTTAGAGTATCAGTACCAATGGCCTCCTTCGGAATTGTCACCTCTTTTGACATGCCTTTATTAGTTTCTTCTGTAAGCTCTTCGTCCAATTTTTCAACTGGGCTTGGTGTCTGCTCTTTCGGCATTTCTTTATGTGGAACTTTTTCTTCGATTTCAATTGGACTAGGTGTCGTCTCCTTTAGAGTATCAGTACCAATGGCCTCCTTCGGAATTGTCACCTCCTTTGACATGCCTTTCTTCGTTTCTTCTGTAAGCTCTTCGTCCAATTTTTCAACTGGGCTTGGTGTATGCTCTTTTGGCATTTCTTTAAGTGTAACTTTTTCTTCAATTTCAATTGGACTAGGTGTCGTCGCCTTTAAAGTATCTGTACCAATGGCCTCCTTCGGAATTGTCACCTCCTTTGGCATTTCTTTCTTAGTTTCTTCTGTAAGCTCTTTGTCCAATTTTTTAATAAGTGTAACTTTTTCTTCAATTTCAATTGGACTAGGTGTCGTCGCCTTTAAAGTATCAGTACCAATGGCCTCCTTCGGAATTGTCACCTCCTTTGGCATTTCTTTCTTAGTTTCTTCCGTAAGCTCTTTGTCCAATTTTTCTACTGGGCTTGGTGTCTGCTCTTTCGGCATATCTTTAAGTGGAACTTTTTCATCGATTTCAATTGGACTAGGTGTCGTCGCCTTTAGAGTATCAGTACCAATGGCCTCCTTCGGAATTGTCACCTCCTTTGGCATGTCTTTCTTAGTTTCTTCTGTAAGCTCTTCGTCCAATTTTTCTACTGGGCTTGGTGTCTGCTCTTTCGGCATTTCTTTATGTGTAACTTTTTCATCGATTTCAATTGGACTAGGTGTCGTCGCCCTTAGAGTATCAGTACCAATAGCTTCCTTCGGAATTGTCACCTCCTTTGACATGTCTTTATTAGTTTCTTCTGTAAGCTCTTCGTCCAATTTTTCAACTGGGCTTGGTGTCCGCTCTTTTGGCATTTCTTTAAGTGTAACTTTTTCTTCGATTTCAATTGGACTAGGTGTCGTCTCCTTTAGAGTATCTGTACCAATGGCCTCGTTCGGAATTGTCACCTCCTTTGACATGCCTTTCTTAGTTTCTTCTGGAAGATCGTTTTCCAATTTTTGAACTGGGCTCGGTGTCTGCTCTTTCGGCATTTCTTTATGTGGAACTTTTTCATCGATTTCAATTGGACTAGGTGTCGTCGCCTTTAGAGTATCAGTACCAATGGCCTCCTTCGGAATTGTCACCTCCTTTGACATTCCTTTCTTAGTTCCTTCCGTAAGCTCTTCGTCCAATTTTTCAACTGGGCTTGGTGTCTGCTCTTTAGTCATTTCTTTATGTGTAACTTTTTCTTCGATTTCAATTGGACTAGGTGTCGTCGCCCTTTTAGAGTATCAGTACCAATGGCTTCCTTCGGAATTGTCACCTCCTTTGGCATTTCTTTCTTAGTTTCTTTTAGAAGCTCTTCGTCCGAAATTTTTCAACAGGGCTTGGTGTCTGCCCTTTTGGCATTTCTTTAAGTGTAACTTCTTCTTCGATTTCAATTGGACTAGGTGTCGTCGCCTTTAGAGTATCAGTGCCAATGGCCTCCTTCACAATTGTCATCTCTTTTGGCATTTATATTTCTTCTGGAAGCTCTTCGTCCGAAATTTTGCAACGGGGCTTGGTGTATGCTCTTTCGGCATTACTTTATGTGGAACTTTTTCTTCGATTTCAATTGGACTAGGTGTCGTCGCCTTTAGAGTATCAGTACCAATGGCCTCCTTCGGAATTGTCACCTCCTTTGACATGCCTTTCTTCGTTTCTTCTGTAAGCTCTTCGTCCAATTTTTCAACTGGGCTTGGTGTATGCTCTTTTGGCATTTCTTTAAGTGTAACTTTTTCTTCAATTTCAATTGAACTAGGTGTCGTCGCCTTTAAAGTATCTATACCAATGGCCTCCTTCGGAATTGTCACCTCCTTTGGCATTTCTTATCTTAGTGAATTCTTGCTGTAAGCTCTTTCGGCCAATTACTTACGCGGCATTCTTTAAGTGTAACTTTTTCATCAATTTCAATTGGACTAGGTGTCGTCGCCTTTATAGTATCAGTACCAATGGCTTCCTTCGGAATTGTCACCTCCTTTGACATGTCTTTCTTAGTTTCTTCTGTAAGCTCTTCGTCCAATTTTTCAACTGGGCTTGGTGTCTGCTCTTTCGGCATTTCTTTATGTGTTACTTTTTCTTCAATTTCAATTGGACTAGGTGTCGTCGCTTTTAGAGTATCAGTACCAATGGCTTCTTTCGGAATTGTCACCTCCTTTGGCATTTCTTTCTTAGTTCCTTCCGTAAGCTCTTTGTCCAATTTTTCAACTGGGCTTGGTGTCTTCTCTTTAGTCATTTCTTTATGTGTAACTTTTTCTTCAATTTCAATTGGACTAGGTGTCGTCGCCTTTAGAGTATCAGTACCAATGGCCTCCTTCGGAATTGTCACCTTCTCTGGCATTTCTTTCTTAGTTTCTTCTGTAAGCTCTTTGTCCAATTTTTCAACTGAGCTTTGTGTCCGCTCTTTCGTCATTTCTTTAAGTATAACTTTTTCTTCAATTTCAATTGGACTAGGTGTCGTCGCCTTTAGAGTATCAGTACCAATGGTCTCCTTTGGAATTGTCACCTCCTTTGGCATTTCTTTCTTAGTTCCTTCCGTAAGCTCTTTGTCCAATTTTTCAACTGGGCTTGGTGTCTTCTCTTTAGTCATTTCTTTATGTGTAACTTTTTCTTCAATTTCAATTGGACTAGGTGTCGTCGCTTTTAGAGTATCAGTACCAATGGCCTCCTTCGGAATTGTCACCTCCTTTGGCATTTCTTTCTTAGTTTCTTTTAGAAGCTCTTTGTCCGAAATTTCAACAGGGCTTGGTGTCTGCCCTTTTGGCATTTCTTTAAGTGTAACTTCTTCTTCAATTTTAATTGGACTAGGTGTCGTCGCCTTTAGAGTATCAGTGACAATGGGCCCCTTCACAATTGTCATCTCCCTTGGCATTTCTTTTGGAAGCTCTTTGTCCGAAACTGCAACGGGGCTTGGTGTATGCTCTTTTGGCATTACTTTAAGTGTAACTTTTTCTTCAATTTCAATTGGACTAGGTGTCGTCGCCTTTATAGTATCAGTACCAATGGCCTCCTTCGGAATTGTCACCTCCTTTGACATGTCTTTCTTAGTTTCTTCTGTAAGCTCTTCGTCCAATTTTTCAACTGGGCTTGGTGTCTGCTCTTTCGGCATTTCTTTATGTGGAACTTTTTCATCAATTTCAATTGGACTAGGTGTCGTCGCCTTTAGAGTATCAGTACTAATGGCTTCTTTCGGAATTGTCACCTCCTTTGGCATTTCTTTCTTAGTTCCTTCCGTAAGCTCTTTGTCCAATTTTTCAACTGGGCTTGGTGTCTTCTCTTTAGTCATTTCTTTATGTGTTAACTTTTTCTTCAATTTCAATTGGACTAGGTGTCGTCGCTTTTAGAGTATCAGTACCAATGGCCTCCTTCGGAATTGTCACCTCCTTTGGCATTTCTTTCTTAGTTTCTTTTAGAAGCTCTTTGTCCGAAATTTCAACAGGGCTTGGTGTCTGCCCTTTTGGCATTTCTTTAAGTGTTTAACTTCTTCTTCAATTTTAATTGGACTAGGTGTCGTCGCCTTTAGAGTATCAGTGACAACGGCCTCCTTCACAATTGTCATCTCCCTTGGCATTTCTTTTGGAAGCTCTTTGTCCGAAACTGCAACGGGGCTTGGTGTATGCTCTTTTGGCATTACTTTAAGTGTAACTTTTTCTTCAATTTCAATTGGACTAGGTGTCGTCACCTTTAGAGTATCCGTACCAATGGCCGCCTTCGGAATTGTCCCCTCCATTGGCATTTCTTTCTTAGTTCCTTCTGTAAGCTCTTTGTCCAATTTTTCAACTGGGCTTGGTGTCTGCTCTTTCGCCATTTCTTTATGTGGAACTTTTTCATCAATTTCAATTGGACTAGGTGTCGTCGCCTTTAGAGTATCAGCACCAATGGCCTCCTTCGGAATTGTCACCTTCTTTGGCATTTCTTTCTTAGTTTCTTCTGTAAGCTCTTTGTCCAATTTTTCAACTGAGCTTGGTGTCTGCTCTTTTGGCAATTCTTTAAGTGTAACTTTTTCTTCAATTTCAATTGGAATAGGTGTCGTCACCTTTAAAGTATCAGTACCAATGGCCTCCTTCGGAATTGTCACCTCCTTTGGCATTTCTTTCCTAGTTTCTTCTGTAAGCTCTTCGTCCAATTTATCAACTGGGCTTGGTGTCTGCTCTTTAGTCAATTCTTTATGTGTAAATTTTTCTTCAATTTCATTTGGACTAGGTGTTGTCGCCTTTAGAGTATCAGTACTAAAGGCCTCCTTCGGAATTGTCACCTCCTTTGGCATTTCTTTCTTAGTTTCTTTTGGAAGCTCTTTGTCCGAAATTTCAACAGGGCTTGGTGTCTGCCCTTTTGGCATTTCTTTAAGTGTAACTTCTTCTTCAATTTCAATTGGACTAGGTGTCGTCGCCTTTAGAGTATCAGTGACAATGGCCTCCTTCGGAATTGTCACCTCCTCTGACATTTCTTTCTTAGTTTCTTCTGTAAGATCTTTTTCCAATTTTTCAACTGGGCTTGGTGTCTGCTCTTTTGGCATTTCTTTAAGTATAACTTTTTCTTCAATTTCAATTGGACTAGGTGTCGTCGCCTTTAGAGTATCAGTACCAATGGCCTCCTTTGGAATTGTCACCTCCTTTGGCATTTCTTTTTTAGTTTCTTCTGTAAGCTCCTTGTCCAATTTTTCAACTGGGCTTGGTGTCTGCCCTTTCGGCATTTCTTTAAGTGGAACTTTTTCATCAATTTCCAGTGGGCTAGGTGATGTTTTCTTAAGTGTATCAACGACAATTGTTGCCTTTTCACTTGGTTCTAATGTTGGCTTTTCTTCTTTTGTTTCAGTAGGAATCGGAATTGTCACCTCCTTTGGCATTTCTTTCTTAGTTTCTTTTGGAAGCTCTTTGTCCGAAATTTCAACAGGGCTTGGTGTCTGCCCTTTTGGCATTTCTTTATGTTGAACTTTTTCATCAATTTCAATTGGACTAGGTGTCGTCACCTTTAAAGTATCAGTACCAATGGCCTCCTTCGGAATTGTCACCTCCTTTGACATTTCTTTCTTAGTTTCTTTTAGAAGCTCTTTGTCCGAAATTTCAACAGGGCTTGGTGTCTGCCCTTTTGGCATTTCTTTAAGTGTAACTTCTTCTTCAATTTTAATTGGACTAGGTGACGTCGCCTTTAGAGTATGAGTGACAATGGCCTCCTTCACAATTGTTATCTCCCTTGGCATTTCTTTTGGAAGCTCTTTGTCCAAAATTGCAACGGGGCTTGGTGTATGCTCTTTTGGCATTTCTTTAAGTGTAACTTTTTCTTCAATTTCAATTGGACTAGGTGTCGTCACCTTTAAAGTATCAGTACCAATGGCCTCCTTCGGAATTGTCACCTCCTTTGACATTTCTTTCTTAGTTTCTTTTAGAAGCTCTTTGTCCGAAATTTCAACAGGGCTTGGTGTCTGCCCTTTTGGCATTTCTTTAAGTGTAACTTCTTCTTCAATTTTAATTGGACTAGGTGTCGTCGCCTTTAGAGTATGAGTGACAATGGCCTCCTTCACAATTGTTATCTCCCTTGGCATTTCTTTTGGAAGCTCTTTGTCCAAAATTGCAACGGGGCTTGGTGTATGCTCTTTTGGCATTTCTTTAAGTGTAACTTTTTCTTCAATTTCAATTGGACTAGGTGTCGTCGCCTTTAAAGTATCAGTACCAATGGCCTCCTTCGGAATTGTCACCTCCTTTGGCATTTCTTTCTTAGTTTCTTCTGTAAGCTCTTTGTCTAATTTTTCAACTGAGCGTGGTGTATGCTCTTTTGGCATTTCTTTAAGTGTAACTTTTTCTTCAATTTCAATTGGACTAGGTGTCGTCGCCTTTAGAGTATCAGTACCAATGGCCGCCCTCGGAATTGTCACCTCCATTGGCATTTCTTTCTTAGTTCCTTCTGTAAGCTCTTCGTCCAATTTTTCAACTGGGCTTGGTGTCTGCTCTTTTGGCATTTCTTTAAGTGTAACTTTTTCTTCAATTTCAATTGGACTAGGTGTCGTCACCTTTAAAGTATCAGTACCAATGGCCTCCTTCGGAATTGTCACCTCCTTTGACATTTCTTTCTTAGTTTCTTTTAGAAGCTCTTTGTCCGAAATTTCAACAGGCCTTGGTGTCTGCCCTTTTGGCATTTCTTTAAGTGTAACTTCTTCTTCAATTTTAATTGGACTAGGTGTCGTCGCCTTTAAAGTATCAGTACCAATGGCCTCCTTCGGAATTGTCACCTCCTTTGGCATTTCTTTCTTAGTTTCTTCTGTAAGCTCTTTGTCTAATTTTTCAACTGAGCTTGGTGTATGCTCTTTTGGCATTTCTTTAAGTGTAACTTTTTCTTCAATTTCAATTGGACTAGGTGTTGTCGCCTTTAGAGTATCAGTACTAAAGGCCTCCTTCGGAATTGTCACCTCCTTTGGCATTTCTTTCGTAGTTTCTTTTGGAAGCTCTTTGTCCGAAATTTCAACAGGGCTTGGTGTCTGCCCTTTTGGCATTTCCTTAAGTGTAACTTTTTCTTCAATTTCAATTGGACTAGGTGTCGTCGCCTTTAGGGTATCAGTACCAATGGCCTCCTTTGGAATTGTCACCCCCTTTGGCATTTCTTTTTTAGTTTCTTCTGTAAGCTTCTTGTCCAATTTTTCAACTGGGCTTGGTGTCTGCCCTTTGGGCATTTCTTTAAGTGGAACTTTTTCATCAATTTCCAGTGGGCTAGGTGATATTTCCTTAAGTGTATCAACGACAATTGTTGCCTTTTCACTTGGTTCTAATGTTGGCCTTTCTTCTTTTGTTTCAGTAGCAACTTTCATTTCCACGGTTTGGACAGTGCTTGGCATCTCTTTTGTTGGCGATTCCTTTAAGGAAACTTTTTCTGCCATTTGCAATTGGGAAGGTTCCGTTTCATCAACCTTTTCAATGACAATTGTCTCCCCCGCGGTTTTATCCTCCTTGGGCATTTCTTTCTTGGTTTCTTTTGAAAGTTCGTTGTCCGAAATTTCAACTGGGCTTGGTGTCTGCTCTTTTGACATTTCTTTAAGAGTATCTTTTACTTCAATTTCCATTGGACTAGGTGTCGTCACCTTTAGAGTATCAGTACCAATGGCTTCCTCCGGAATCGTCACCTCCTTTGGCATTTCTTTCTTAGTTTCTTCGGAAAGCACTTTGTCCGATTTTTCAACTGGCCTCGGTGTCTGCTCTTCCAATATTTCTTTAAGTGGAACTTTTTCATCAATTTCCAATGGGCTAGGTGATGTTTCCTCAAGTGTGTCAGTGACAATTGTGACCTTTTCACTTGGTTCTAATGTTGCCTTTTCTTCCTTTGTTTCAGCAGGAACTTTCATGTCTATGGGTTGGACAGTTTTTGGGATCTCTCCTGTTGGCGATTTCTTTGAGGAAGCTTTTTCTTTCATTTGCAATTGGCTAGGTTCCGTTTCATCTACCTTTTCAGTCACAATTGTCTCCCCTGCGCTTGTATCCTCCTTGGGAATTTCTTTCTTAGTTTCTTTTGGAACTCCCTTGTCCGAAATATCCACTGGGCTTGGTGTCTGCTCTTTTGGTATTTCTTTAAGTGGAACTTCTGCTTCAATTCCCATTGGACTAGGACTCGTCGCCTTTACAGTATCAGTGACAATGGCCTCCTTCGGAATTGTCACCTCCTCTGACATTTCTTTCTTAGTTTCTTCTGTAAGATCTTTTTCCAATTTTTCAACTGGGCTTGGTGTCTGCTCTTTTGGCATTTCTTTAAGTGTAACTTTTTCTTCAATTTCAATTGGACTAGGTGTCATCGCCTTTAGAGTAACAGTGACAATGGCCTCCTTCGGAATTGTCACCTCCTCTGACATTTCTTTCTTAGTTTCTTCTGTAAGATCTTTTTCCAATTTTTCAACTGGGCTTGGTGTCTGCTCTTTTGGCATTTCTTTAAGTGTAACTTTTTCTTCAATTTCAATTGGACTAGGTGTCGTCGCCTTTAGAGTATCAGTGACAATGTCCTCCTTCGGAATTGTCACCTCTTCTGACATTTCTTTCTTAGTTTCTTCTGTAAGATCTTTTTCCAATTTTTCATCTGGGCTTGGTGTCTGCTCTTTTGGCGTTTCTTTAAGTGGAACTTCTGCTTCAATTCCCATTGGACTAGGACTCGTCGCCTTTACAGTATCAGTGACAATGGCCTCCTTCGGAATTGTCACCTCCTCTGACATTTCTTTCTTAGTTTCTTCTGTAAGATCTTTTTCCAATTTTTCAACTGGGCTTGGTGTCTGCTCTTTTGGCATTTCTTTAAGTGTAACTTTTTCTTCAATTTCAATTGGACTAGGTGTCGTCGCCTTTAGAGTATCAGTGACAATGGCCTCCTTCGGAATTGTCACCTCCTCTGACATTTCTTTCTTAGTTTCTTCTGTAAGATCTTTTTCCAATTTTTCAACTGGGCTTGGTGTCTGCTCTTTTGGCATTTCTTTAAGTGTAACTTTTTCTTCAATTTCAATTGGACTAGGTGTCGTCGCCTTTAGAGTATCAGTGACAATGTCCTCCTTCGGAATTGTCACCTCTTCTGACATTTCTTTCTTAGTTTCTTCTGTATGATCTTTTTCCAATTTTTCATCTGGGCTTGGTGTCTGCTCTTTTGGCATTTCTTTAAGTGTAACTTTTTCTTCAATTTCAATTGGACTAGGTGTCGTCGCCTTTAGAGTATCAGTGACAATGGCCTCCTTCGGAATTGTCACCTCCTCTGACATTTCTTTCTTAGTTTCTTCTGTAAGATCTTTTTCCAATTTTTCAACTGGGCTTGGTGTCTGCTCTTTTGGCATTTCTTTAAGTGTAACTTTTTCTTCAATTTCAATTGGACTAGGTGTCGTCGCCTTTAGAGTATCAGTGACAATGGCCTCCTTCGGAATTGTCACCTCCTCTGACATTTCTTTCTTAGTTTCTTCTGTAAGATCTTTTTCCAATTTTTCAACTGGGCTTGGTGTCTGCTCTTTTGGCATTTCTTTAAGTGTAACTTTTTCTTCAATTTCAATTGGACTAGGTGTCGTCGCCTTTAGAGTATCAGTGACAATGTCCTCCTTTGGAATTGTCACCTCCTCTGACATTTCTTTCTTAGTTTCTTCTGTAGGATCTTTTTCCAATTTTTCAACTGGGCTTGGTGTCTGCTTTTTTGGCATTTCTTTAAGTGTAACTTTTTCTTCAATTTCAATTGGACTAGGTGTCGTCGCCTTTAGAGTATCAGTAACAATGGCCTCCTTCGGAATTGTCACCTCCTCTGACATTTCTTTCTTAGTTTCTTCTGTAAGATCTTTTTCCAATTTTTCAACTGGGCTTGGTGTCTGCTCTTTTGGCATTTCTTTAATTGTAACTTTTTCTTCAATTTCCATTGGACTAGGTGTCGTCGCCTTTGGAGTATCAGTACCAATGGCTTCCTTCGGAATCGTCACCTCCTTTGGCATATCTTTCTTAGTTTCTTCGGAAAGCTCTGTGTCCGATTTTTCAACTGGCCTCTGTGACTGCTCTTCCAGTATTTCTTTAAGTGGAACTTTTTCATCAATTTCCAATGGGCTAGGTGATGTTTCCTCAAGTGTGTCAGTGACAATTGTGACCTTTTCACTTTGTTCTAATGTTGGCTTTTCTTCCTTTGTTTCAGTAGGAACTTTCACGTCTATGGTTTGGACAGTGCTTGGCATCTCTTCTCTTGGCGATTCTTTTAAGGACACTTTTTCTTTCATTTGCGATTGGCTAGGTTTCGTTTCATCTACCTTTTTAGTAACAATTGTCTCCTCTACGGTTGTAACCTCCTTGGGAATTTCTTCCTTAGTTTGGACTAGAAGCTGGTTGTCCAAAATTTTAACTGGGCTCGGTGTCTGCTCTTTCAGTATTTCTTTAAGTGGAACTTTTTCATCAATTCCCACTTGGCTGGGTAATGTTTCTTTAAGTGTGTCGGTGACAATGGTTGCCTTTTCACTTGATTCTGATGTTGGCTTTTCTTCCTTTGTTTCAGTAGGAACTTTCATGTCTATGGTTTGGACAGTGCTTGGTATCTCTTCTGTTGGCGATTCCTTTAAGGACACTTTTTCTTTCATTTGCAATTGGCTAGGTTTCGTTTCATCTACCTTTTTAGTGATAATTGTCTCCTCTACTGCTGTAACCTCCTTGGGCATTTCTGCCTTAGTTTGGACTGGAAGCTTTTTGTACAAAATTTCAACCTGGCTTGGTGTCTGCTCTTTCGGCGTTTCTTTAAGTGGAACTTTTTCATCAATTTCCAATGGGCTAGGTGATGTTTCCTTAAGTGTGTCAGTGACAATTGTTGCCTTCTCACTTTGTTCTGTTGTTGTTTTCTCTTCCTTTGTTTCAATGGGAACTATCATGTCCATGGTTTGGACAGTGCTAGTCATCTTTTCTGTTGGCGATTCCTTTAAGGACACTTTTTCTTTTATTTGCAATTGGCTAGGTTTCGTTTCATCTACCTTTTCAGTGACAATTGTCTCCCATGAGGTTGTATCCTCCTTGGGCATTTCTTTCTTAGTTTTCTTTGGAATTTTCTTGTCCGAAATTTCAACTGGGCTTGGTGTCTGCTCTTTTGGCATTGCTTTAAGTGGAATATTTTCTTCAATTTCTATTGGACTAGGTGTCGTTGCTTTTACAGTATCAGTAACAATAGCCTCCTTCACAATTGTTACCTCCTTAGGCATTTCTTTCTTACTTTCTTTATGAAGTTCGTTGTCCGAAATTTCAACTAGGCTTGGTGTCTGCTCTTTTGGCATTTCTTTAAGTGGAACTTTTTTTTCAATTTCTATTGGACTAGATGTCGTCGTCTTTAAGGTATCAGTGACAATGGCCTCCTCCGCAATTGTCACCTCCTTTGGTATTTCTTTCTTAGTTTCTTCTGGAAGCTCTTCGTTCAAAATTTCAAATGGGCTTCGTCTCTGCTCTTTCGGCATTTCTTGAAGTAGTACTTTTTCATCAATTTCCAATGGGCTAGATGACAATTTCTTTACTGGCACTTTTTCTTCTTCATCTATTAGACTAGGTGTCGTTGTCTTATTTACATCAATGATAATTGTCTCCTTTACTTCGGGTTTTTCATGGATACCTGATGGTAGTAGATCGTTAATCATTTCTTTTGGTTCATAGTCTAATTTGACCGGTTTAGAGATCTCGTCATAATCCTGGAACTTTTGAACAACTCCTAAGTTTTCAACCAAGCCGAGTACTTTTTTTCTAACAATAGAAGTATCTGCACCATCGCCAGCTGCGGCTGTAGTTTCTTTTTCGTGTTCTTTAAAATTAGTTTCATCTTTTTCTAAACTTACTTGCTTTTCGTCAAGTTTGTCAGAAACGATATAACTTTGTGAAAAATCTTTGAATTTGTCTTCTTTTTCATTTCGGTTTAAACTAGAAATAATGACATCATCACGTGGTTTTAGTGTTTTCTCTGAACTCTTTGATTTAACGTTTTCATTTACAGGGGCTTCTATAATTTTATCCTGTTCTTTCTTCTCAGAAGTAAATTCTTCTACAAGAACTTCTTTGAGAAGTGTTTCTTTTTTTGTATCTGAACTCTTTGGCTTTGCTTCGATGGTGGAACCTTTTGAAAATTCGCTGGCGCCTAGTAATGATTCTTCGGTCTCTAATTTAATTATTTGACTAGCTAAGTCCTTGTTAGTTATATCATCTTTTTGTTCTAATCTCGATGCATATATTGCATCTAAGTCCTTGGAGCTAATTAATTGTGAGTCACGTAATGCTTTTTCCATAAACTCGTGCTGTGTGTCTCCTTCTTTCTTTTTCAAATCTGCTATTTTTTCTTCAAGTTTTTCGAGAGTTTTAGCGGAATCCAATGTTAATATTAATCTTTTCTCCTGTTTTTCCAGTCTGGTCGTGTCATCCGATAAATCATCTGCTGGTTTTTTGTCTTCACCATTTTCAATTTTTACGAAAGAAGGTTTGAAATCAAGTTTTTGCGTAACTTTAGTAGTTTTATCTATCCAAGTAGAATCTTCACCTACGTTTTCACAAGACAAAATAGCTGTCTTGTCATGTTTCATTTCATGTTTAATATTTTTATCGTCAATTAGAACAGTTTTATCCGATATATCACTGATGTCTTCTGATGTGATTGACCTCACCGGTGATACTTCCTTATGATGCATTTTTGTTACATCAGGTTTAACCATAGTAGTCAGGGCAGTTTGTTGTGTTTCCTTTACATCTGCGATTCTGGTTTCACCAGTTTCTAATTCTTTTTCTCTGTTTATCCGGTTTTTGAAATCTTTAGTTTCGGTCAATGCATCAAGTTTAAAAAAATTCTCGGGAGATTTTCGAAGTATTGGCGACTTATCTGCTATGAGTTCATCGAGGCTTTTATCCGATTTTAATACTTCAGCTACGTCCGCTACGATTCGTTCGACGTCTTTAGGGCTAATAAGAGGTTTCTCAGATATTTCAAATTTACATGCTTCTTCAATTTCTTTTTCAACATCTTCAGGTATTGAAGGAATTTTTTCAGGCATTGATTGCATTTCGTCAATAACAATCATGTCATCATCTTTAATCGGAGAGTCTAATGTAGTAATATGAGTTTCCCGAAGTTTTTCAGTAAACTGTCCGTACACATAATGAGTGTCATCGTATTCTTTAACGGGTTCTAAATCCTTTTCAGTTATACCCGTAATTTTTGTTTGATCATGATACATTGGAGACTCGGGTGCAGAACCTGGAGTCACTGTAACTAATTCAGCGTGAGACGGCCGTTCTAAAGTTTTAACTATTACATCATCTTGAATAGTTCTGGCGTTCTTGGAAATACTCTTCTCTAAAAGCGGGAGATCTTTAGGAATTTTCAAATCATGAACTACATCTGGTTTCTGTTTAAAAATGTCTTCATCTAAAGGTATTCGCTTTTCTTCAAATGTTCTATAATCTACCTCTTCATGCAAAGGAAGATCTGCAACTTCATCTGGTGTTTTTACAATATCTCTGACAGGAGCCGGCAGGGTTTCAATTTTAGGGCTCTTATCAAAAGAAACTGGTTTTGTTACATCAGTAAGTGTTTGTGGTACAATTATTTCTTTTGTTTCCTCTTTAATGTGTTTTTCTTCGATTTGGTGGTCTTCCTTTATTTCATCCAAAGTTATACGTTCATCTTCAGGAAGGGTCGGAGCAGTTGTGGCACCTGATTCAACTGTAGTAGAGATTTTTTCGTCAGGTTGAGATTCTTGTACAATATTAAGGTCAAGCGAGTCTTTAGGTTTTAATATACCGCTCTTGCTGTCTGTTGTTTTCTTTTCACTACTCATATCTTGTTTTTCCTCTAAGCTCTCCGAATGTTCCTTTGACTCTGGTTTTATTTCATCTTTTATTGTGTCAGATTCTATTTTTAATTTATGAGGTTCCTTAAGAGAAAATAATGTGTCATCTTTAATTTTCTCACATTCTTCTTTGTCTTTTATATGCTTTTGTAATTCCTCTTCCTTTTCATGACTCAATTCATGATCTAATACAGAATCCTCAGTAAACTGTTCTACTTCTTCCTTCTCTATTATCAAATATTCTTCTTCAAATTCAGGGTCAGCAGTTACGTCAGTTTTCGCGTCGTCCATTAAGCGTGTAATTTTTTCTATGTCTGAACGACCAACATATTCTACTTTTTCCTCAGCTTCACTATCTCTGTTGAAAACAGCTTCTATTTCCCTTACAATTTCCTGTTCTTCTCTTTCATCTAGCTCTTGTTGTTTTATATCATCAAGAGATTTTGACGTTTCTTCATCAGATTTTTTAGCATCTTTTAATATATCTTCATAATTTACCCTTTGCAGGCCTTTTAATTTCGATGTGTCAATTTTTGCTGCTTTAATAGATTTAGAAGGACTCTTTGTTGTTTTAAGACCCTTGATTGGAGAAGCAAGTGGTCTTGGTCGTCTCGAAATAGGTTCTCGCTTAGGTTTTGGTTCTTTTTTGTCTAGCGATTTCTGAGTAATGTCTCTTTTGGGAGATGCTTGTTTATATTTAGACTCGACAACTCTACGGTTACTTGCTTCTTTTACGCTTTTTGCTGGTGTGCTTCCTGGGCTTAGTCGTCTCGTTTTAACTTTGAGTTTTTCTCTGTTTCCTAGGACGGTTGTAGTTGTCCTCGTTTCAGTAACCTTCTTTGGCGTCGCTGGTGGCGACTTTTTATCATCTGTAATTATTCTTTTTTCACTAATAGTTGAAGTGGTCTTTTTCGGAACAGCACGGTGAATAATTTTGCTTTTGTAAGCTGAACTTACTGTTTCAGATTTTGCTTTTATCTCAGGTTTTCTTTTACTATCTATTTTGGTTTTTATATCCGTATCAAGTTTCTTAACTTCTGCAGTTTTAAGCGTAGATTCTTTAACATCGTCAGTCTTTTCAATGCGTTTTGTTTTTTTTTCAAACGGTTTTTCTTTTTTCTTGGGTTCCTTCTTCTTCGGTAAACCATCAATAACAGTGCTTTCGTATTGGGCGAATTTATCATCTAATTTCGTGTCAACTCTGGCCGCGATTGCTTCTTGCAAAACTGACTCAATTTTCCTATCTTCGCCATCCACTAATTCACTAAGTAACTTGTTGTCTATTATATTTTTGGAATCACTTTCATCCCTAGTTCTTACTTTTGACTCTTCATATTCTGACAATTTTTCTTCCCTTGTTTTCTCTGCAGCACTGCTCTTTTCCTTACTTACTTTACTAATTGCGTGTTTAGATTTTGTAATAGATGTTGCAGTTGGTGTCGTAGTTAAAGGAGGTATTATAGCAGCCATTTGTCGCCCAGTACATGTTGGATGCTGAAGAAACTCTAAGTTTTTCAATTTCTCGAGACCTTCAAATATTTTATGTTGCGGAGTTGATCCAGGGAACATGATTCTTGTTATCGTATCATCAGGGTTAGCCGGTCGCCATATAAGTAAAGCACATATTGAAACTAAATTAGGTATAGGAAAATTGAATTGTCCACACACACTCGCGCCTTCAAATAATTTTTGTTCACTACTATGCCATCGCTTCAGAAATTCGCGAACATGTTTAGAGTCCTTGGACGGATTCAGTACGTACATATCAAGGGTACCTGAAAATAAGACATAATTTTGATTTACTTTAAAAATACATTTTAATGGCGTGTTAGCTCACTGTTAATTACTCGCGTCAAAGTTCATTATAGTCTATTAAAACTCAATTACTGACCATAGGCCTCTCATTTGCGTCATAGGTTCTCTATCTATTATAAGGTATGTACCTCATAGGTGCCACACTTGACTAGCTGGTTGCCTACCGCAAGTTTTTTCTATATTCTGTCAAAGATTTCTATGTATACTACAAAACCAGCTATTCAGAACAAAACTGTGTCACAGCTGCAAATTGCGCGGGCGCGAGTAGTTGGCACGGTAAATATGCCACGCCAAATTGTATTTTCATTCACGAAAGTTACTGTTTTTAGGCAAATACGAAATAATGTTATATACCTATCTAATCTAAATAAACTTCAAATCACGTTAACATAATGCGCACATGAATAACGACAGCGATTTCTTAGTTACATTAAACAAAATTAGTTTAAGATTGTCGAAAACAACGTAAGCAGTTTCAAGCAACCAAAGAACTAGTTAGCTCGCCTGCTCGCGGTCGATTAGAGAAGTTACGGAGAATTGACCATAACTTAGTGCGCAATGTATTCTTTCCCTTCTAGAAGTTTTTTTTTTATCTTTTATATAAAAGTTAAAAAATACCTCTCTGTAACCTTAAAATGCATGTGTAGGTTTCAACACAGTAGTCGAATGGCCAATTAGAACCCAACTTGAGTTCACGAATTCACGATCCGCATCCTACCTTTGCTACTGTCCCAGTACCATTACTTGTTTCAGTTTACCCCTGTGTCGCAATTTAAGACACCCACGAAATGATATGGATTAGTGGTAATTCTTTCGCTATCACTACACAGCAAAAGTTTCAAAGTATACGAGAAAACCAAGTTCGATTGCGCCAGCACCAATGAAATTGTTAATTACAATTATAAGCGCTGATTTAACACTTTCTCGGTGGTGAAGAAAAACATTATAAGAAAACATGAGAAGTGAAAAAAGATAAGAAATGCGATTCGAGGACATGTGAAGATTTTTAACACGTATTGGAGCATGCGGCAAATTTTGTTTTGTCAACATTTTCTCAGATATCAGAGGAGTTTTTAGTGCAGTAGCGAGACGCAGTTGCTGTTTTTTCTTACTTCATTTTATTTCTAATAATTTTCTTGATTTGACTTTTTTTGCTGAATTCTAATCTGAATGACAGGATGAGAAATTGGGTAAAAAGAGAAATGTGTGGTTTCCGAGGAGTGACCAGGATTAAGAAAGGAATTCTGCAGTGGTTTGGTTATGTAGAAATAATGAATGAGGAAAGCAAAGCAAAGAAAAGTAACAAAGAAAATTTATGTGGCAGAAGTGAACGGCAGAGTCGGCAAGGGGCGCCTTAAACGAAAGTTTATCTCTCGAATTGGCGTTATATTGAAAATGGGCTAAATTAATAGTGCCTTTAAACACGACGAGCATGTACGCATGTGGATATAAAGGAAGCCAAAAAGGTGTCAAGATCGTGCCAAATAGAAGACCGTCTCTGCCTACACCTCTGGATGACAGGTGTGAGTGTTTAAGTATTGCTGTTTTTGATCAAAGTACCTAAGGTTTCTGTTCTGGAAGCCAATCAAGTCCGTTATGTTAGAAAACATATTTTATACCATATTTATAGCTATGACAATGATCATGATGTTCTCCAAGATGTTTTTGACCATGACCATAACAACACTCCGAATTATCGGGGGTTATATAGTAATGCAAAAATATTATAGTGCCACAAGTGAACACTAAACTACTTGTCTAATAAGATGGTAAAAAGGCTATGATGCAAATATATGTCAGAGTCATGGTATATATCATCACAATAAAATTTGATCTAGATATAAACTTTTTTTATGGAAATGTGCATATGAGCGCAGATATCAGCAGGCTATGGTCCATAGACACTTTTAAATCTCCTGACAAAATGAAATACATTATCAGCCCCAATAAATAAGTTGGGATGCCTCGTTACTATAAATGGTCTTCAGGTTCAACGCACTATACTAAATAGCAGTAATATGCTGTTATTTTATACTGGGATTATGTTCCTTAGGTGACAAATGAGTACACAGTCCACCTCATGGTAAGTGGATATTGTGGACCATGCACATCTACATTTAACCTCGATTAAGAATCAAAACACAGATGCTTTGTCACCCCTGATGACAAAGACGTAATGCCTCATTTGCAGTGAAAAAGGGTCTCCGGATCTCTACACTCACCATACGAAACATAGCAGTATTAAACTGCTTTCGTCACGCTGATATTCTGTGAGAGCATGGTCCTACCCTGGTCGATCTGACCCATTCATGCCACATTCATAATTTAGCTGCATCATGGCTCTACCACGTATAGAACTTTGTTGAGACCACCCATTCGTGCAGCAGCCACAATATTCCACAGCATAGCTCCACAATGAATATTTGTGTTTTTGGACAAATATTGGCATTCACCAGGACCGAGCTCTGGATTACTTCGACCACTGAATGGTCGTAATATCATCATGAATATACGGTTTAAAGCCATATGTACATAGATAACAATCGAACTAGAATTATTTTTCACTTACCATGACCAACTTTGTGGTAAAGATTTATAGGATCTGGACTGCGATAACAGTGCTGTGGCTTTAGGTTAATATGTCTCAAATCCGCCATCATATCAGAGCCCTCTTGCAGGAGTGAGACCAGCAGAGGATCAGTGTCCTTGTTACCATCGGGACTGGCTAAAGCGCGCCGTTCCTGGAATTAGAAATATCATTGTTAAAGCCTTTATACAGAGTAAGTTGTATAACCAATATGATCCTAATATCATCAACGTGTTGATGGTTTTTAAGCCTTTATGTGTTGGTATTTCACACAAGTGTATTGAAGAAGGCTGCTTTTCTGTCTAGCAGTCTGTTTGACGCAAACAGCAAACAGCAAACAGCAGCGCTATTGTGTTCTGGTCTGAAGGGCTTAGAGCCAGTATAAAACAGGCATTCCCTCTTAGTTTTCAGCTGCAATGCGTCTTCTTAATTTGAAGTCAGCTGCAGATAAACAAGGACCGATGTAGCCATAATTACTATCTGATGGAGTTTAACTTCGTTTGTCACTTAGTGTCATAAATAAATTACAAGAAAATGTAATAACTATAATGTTATCTAAATAGTTACATTAAAAACTTCATCACTCATTTTCAGTCTTAAGGGTGGAATTTTTTCTACAAAATAACCCAGACCGACCTGTGTGTATCGCGTGTTTAATAAAAAAAGAATCATTTAACATCGGGTAATAATTGCCGAAGATATAGCGTTACATTTAAACAACAACTGGTAAAAGTTAAAAGAAAATTACAACCATCTTCCATATAAATAAAATGAGAACATCATCAATATAGTTAAAGTCAATTAAATATGCATTATTAAGCAACTGAAAAACTGATCAGATATAGATCGAATTTATATAGGACCGCACGAGAAGCACCAGCTTTGAAATAAAATAGAATTATCAAAATCGGTTCACCCAGAAAAAAGTTCTGGGGTAACACACACACAAAAAAACATACATTTTTTTGAAGTTGGTTGAAAATAAGTTGTTGTACAGAGGTGTAAAATCACTCTCAGACCTCATTCAGGTAGATTTAAAACTATATCATTCATAAAAGTCCTCTGCTGATATGCCACTCTCAAAGACTGCCTCATAAGGCAGATTTCGCCAAAGTTGCCACACTTGCCAGGCGGCTTGGAACTGCAGCTATTTAATATTTTGAGTTATTATCAGGAAGATACTGCTGCCTATCTTCTGTTTCAGTTTCCCCCAGTAGCCTCTTACGACACCCAGGGATTATATGGGGTATTAGTCGATATTCATACACTGCAACTACTCAGTCAACTGTATCAAAAGAAAACAGTAAACCTATATCATAAGGAAAGAAAATGTAAAAAAAATGTTTACATGTATGTATGTACATGTATGCATGTATTACCATTTTCGAAAATAATTCCACAGCATTAGCGTGGGAAAGTGATACACATAAACATACATTTTTTTATAAATTAAGAACCTGTAATAGGCAGTAGACATGTAAATATTTACTTAGCTTAATAATATTACAAAATCTTGTTGGTTATGCAGACAATCAAATAAAAAAATTATTATTTTTAAACATTAGTAACAAATGGACTATATGGAATGTGCTTATTCCAGTTCATGGAAATGAATATCAAAAACGAAGGCAAGGTGCACTATCGTCTCTCAGGTCTACAACAAGAGTGCTACCGGCACAGATGGATGGAAAAGGAATCCATTCATCTTCTAAAAAAAGTGTCAATACCTCGAATTAAACTTTATAATATATCTTACACAGTTCACAGCAGTTGGAATCAGCTAAATGATTTACATCATCATCATCATTACAGCCCTTCACAAGTCCACTGCTGAACATAGGCCTCCCCCAAGGAATGCCATAAAGAAAAATTATGTAACATACATAAATTATTCCTTCAAAGTTTGGGTGTTTGGGTCATAAGTATTTTAATAGGTAATAGATAACTTTTATAAATTAGTAAAATGTTAAGCTTTACAAAAAAAGGGAAAAAAATTTATAATAATAAGTAGCCAAGGATTAATTTATTTTTAAGAGTGTTGCTTTGCTTTTGTAGTATTTAAATCTATATGTAGCTAGACTAATGTCTTTTCCTGAATGTGGCAACTGACAAGTATTCCTTTGTTTATTTTTCCACCATAGTTAAGTAAGTTCATAGTACAGGTGTACAAACCAGCAATTTTGGATAAAATTTCCCACACTCAATGAGCCGGAGTCAGGGTTAAAGCATAATGTACAAAGTATCAACCATCATAACATATCAATGGGCTAAAGTCTTGTCTCAATCAGCAGTATGGACCATATAAAAAAAAGCTTGAAATAGCATAGTATGTGGGATATTTGTTAGTCATCTGGTATAGTAAGTATAGCAACAATTTATCATGATAAATATACATGCAAGTGCATAAAGTTATTTTATAAAAAAATTATATTTTTATATTATAGGCAACAAAGATAACACTTAATAATAATTGTCTATGTTTGCAATATAAATTAGTTTCAGAGTAAATGAGAAAAAAAAACCTTTTCTGTTAGATGATAATAGTTCAATCAATAAATACATTTAAAAAGTGTAAATGTAGTTTGTGCATGTTTTGTTATTTAGTATCCAACACTTGCAAACAATTTATCTAGAAAGTATTCCGAAATATTCTTGATTCTTTGCTTTATAAGATGTAAGTAATTAAAAATCCATGTCGAGATAATTTTAAATAAAAAAAATATGATTCTCGCTCTTGCTGCTAGATAATTTAGGAAATTAACTCACTAAAATCATTTCTATCAAGTCACAGCATTCATATTTAAATATTTACAAATGTTTAACACAAAACCAAAAATCTAACATTTTAAGAAATTTCCCGCTAAATAAATTGAATTGACAATAACAAATTAGAGAATAGGGATGTTCGATGATCATCGATGTTAGAAATTAAAACATCGATGTTTTAACATCGATGTTGCCACATGCTAAACATCGTAACTTCGATGATACCACATGTCAAACATCGAAACATCGATGTCAATGAGCTAATAATTGATTAATAAGAACTTGTGAACAATGCGAACCCGCGAAATCAATCAACTAAATATTTCATCACCTATTAAAGGTTTAAATTTTTGAATAATTTAAGATTCTTAAAGCCATCAATCACCTGAAAAATATCATTATGTTGTGTCAAACTCCCTCTCAAGTGTGAACCGTAATGTCACAGTTGTCACTGCTTTCGCTTTGTTGTTCTGTGGTACCATTGTCGCCTAATAACTATTCTACATAAATTGATATACAAATAATGTTTTTTCTCTTGCTGTCTATACACACATAATTTTGAAACAATATGAATATACACAATTTAATTATATTTAGCTGTTTTTTGAGCTAATGAGTTTATTGTCTGCTTGAAGTTTATGAAAATAAATCACTGGGCGATTGTGAACATAGAAAATTTCACTGCATAGTGCATTTTACAGTGCATTTTATAAACAGCTGTGGATACTTACTGTTTGGGCTGTCTGAGAAAAAATAGTGAACAAAGGTGACAGAAAAGTCTGATATTTTGTTTTTGTGAAGTTTGCTAATTCGCCCTTTATAATCATATTTTTTTATTTCGCGATAGGAGCTATTAATATAGAACCTACGTCTAAATCGTAAATTAGGTCTCTTAGTAAATTTTTTCGTAGATTTTAGGTTGTATAGGAACATTTGAAGATCAAAATAATAACATTAATCATTATCGCCAAAAAATATAACAAAATAACATTTGTTAAGTTTTGCCCATTTTTTAAATTACTATTTAGCACTAAATGTTTTATAAATTTCTTTCATTTCATTAATAATAAACTATAAACTACACTATAACTTTTTTGTTCATCTAATTTTAACCTACTAATTAGGTACATGTGCAATAACATCGATAATGGCCAACATCGATGTTTTAAGTAAGATAAACATCGAACATCGATGATAAGATCGATCGATGATAAATCTATCGATATCAACATCGATGTCACCATCGATGTTTCTGCAACATCGATCATCCCTATAACAAATGTTGTTGTTGTTTTTATTATTCGCTCGAGAGAGCAGGCAAAGGAACTAAGCCATACAGCCTTGTCTCTTTTAAAGAAAGTAACCTTTAACGTTCTCCTGTTCTCTAACATAAAGGTTAGAGAACAGGAGAACGATCACTACGTATACTAAAACATAGCCCGCCTGTCCTTGGACATTGTAGAATATATAGCGGCGCTGACGTCGGTGAGTAGTGACTGCGAAGTTAGCTGTTTATGAGTACAAGTAGATGAAGTTAGTTGAATAATGTACAAATTTTCATTTCATTTTTAATGAGAAAATTTTCAAGCTCTGTAATTTTGTAATTTTTGACAAAAAGAAACATTAAAAAACGGAGAAATATTTTATTGTGCGTGGATGTGCAAGTGGTTTAGCATCTGATCAGAAAAATTGATTTTTGAATATCGATATAAATTAGATAACATACCTTTGGAACGCATCTACCAAACCAAAGATCTTGGTGTTATTTTTGATTCCGAAATGCTTATGTATAATCATGTAACGACAATGGTTGCAAAAGCGTATAAAAATTTAGAATTTGTTCTAAGAGTGTCCCGTCCTTTCTCAGATTCTGAATGCATAAAATTTTTGTATTATTCTTATGCAAGAAGTGTTTTGGAGTATTGTTGTAATGTCTGGAAGTCGCATTATTTGTCTTATATAGAGAATATAGAGCAAATACAATGTAAATTTATTAAGGCGTTAAATTATCGTACTCAACATAAAAAAAGCAGTTATGAGAAATCTTGCGATCACCATAACTTATTGCAGTTAAAGAACCGACGTACACTTCTACAAATTTTGTTTCTACACGACATCTGTAGTAATAAAATTGATAGTCCCGAATTAACATTTCAATTCCTACAATTCAATGCTCCTTCGAAGCGTACCAGACATACATCCCTATTTCATGTCCCTTTAAGTCGCTCTAAATATGCTCAAAATTCTGTTATTAGTCGTACACTTAACTGTTACAACAAAAACTTTTCAACTATTGATATTTTCCACGACAGTAAAGCTTCCATAAAAAAAGAAATAACACGTACAAACACACCTCTTTCACACACACACACACACTCTCTCTCTCTCTCTCGCTCTCTCTCTCTCTCTCACACACACACACACACACACAAACACATACATACACACACACACACACACAAATAAATATTTACAAAACAAAACACTAGTAGATGTACATATATGCACTGTATTTTGTAAAATGCGTAATGGCGTAATGACTACTCTTTAAAAATAACCCTGTATAATATTATTTCCACACAGTTGTAGCGATACGTTAGAAGATTTGTTTTTTTATAAAGTAAGAACCTGTAATTGGCAGTAGAAAATGTAAATACTTAATAATTTTATAATGTTACAAAATGCTGTTGGTTCTGTTACAATAAATTAAAAAAAATAGACTTTTTATTGACCGAACTTAGTGATTGCAGCGCCTCACTTATGGTGTCCATATTTCTGGGACACTATTTTCTACGGCGATAGTTCTCCTGTTCTCTAACCTTCATGACAATAACAAACAATTGACAACTCCCTAACCCATTCGCAATTCTGCCTTTCCTTTTTTAATAATTTTATGGCAAAGGAATCTATGCCCTTACATCCTAGTCTGAAGTAGATTTGTTCTTTACAATATGTAGATTTTTGGGAGATACAGTTTGATACAGCAGACATTTGATGGCAGTGGTATCTTAAGGCGCCTAAGGAGACAAAATAACTTGAAGATAACCTCATCTTAAATACTAGCGAAGTGCTTGTTTTATTTATTTCCTCTGAAGTTAAAATCTTATGAAAACTACATCACTTTTACTTATCAATATTCACTTTAAACCTTTATTTAAATAATAAGGCAAAATAATCAGTAGGTTTATGGACTCGTACGGTAATACTTTTGCCAGTGTCAAGTAATAGAAATTATGCTTTATATAAAATAAAAATCTTAAAAACATCAGTACATCATATCTACATCTTAAATTCTTAAGAAATAAAAAATAATGCAAGTACCACAGATTCTAATCTTAAACAAATTTACCACCAAAAAAGGAATGAGATGTACTTTAGAAGTATAAATTAAAGTAGTATTCGTAAAATTCTGTCACACACTACACAAATCACACCAAAGAGTACTTACTTCTAAATTACAGAAGAAGTGTCCAATCTGTGGGTAGACATTGGCCGTCGCCTTCCTGCGTAGGACAGATGCCATGCCTGACACTGAACAATTGTTGAGTCGAGTGAATAGTACTGCATCGAGTCGGTCCAGATGCCTTGCAAAATCCCACCAGCAAGCCTTGCGAGAGAAACCACCATCCACTGAAAATATACATAATGATGATTATCGTACAATTAATATTTAAATACGTAATAATACGTAAAGTAATATTTTAAAAACTTTTTCCAAATTAAGAGGAATTTTTATAATCACCATGATTGACTAGTGGGTTGGCGGTCGTAGAATCAGATGGTCTAGATTTTTAGGCTTGGATGTTTTTTAAAAGATTATTCTTTTATTTATTGAATAAAATTTTTTTTCGACCATTCCGTTTGTAGACTAATATAGAATTTTTTTCTATTTTATTAGTCTGTTAAAGCAGACTACTGAATATGGAGTGTAGAAGTAAGGAGTACAGACTGTGTATTAAAAAGTGTCCATAGAAAACCGTTAAATAAGGGTGGCGCCACTATAGCTACGGGCTAAATTTTAAAGAACGTGCCGAAAATATTAGTGGGATAGACGACTTTTTCGAGGTTATATTTACTAAATAAAGTTATTTTAGATTTTAGAACTACTGAGCCATTTAGCAGCACACTTCAAACCTAGTTCATTTTATCACAGTAGCCACTCCAGCGCTGTTGTGGAGAGTTTTTGAACTGTTATTTACTGCTTACAGATGGCCACTTTTTCAACTATTCTACTATGGGAGTTGGTACTCCTTACTTCTACACTCCATACTACTGAACATGCCTCTCCCGCCGTAGAGTTATTTTTTTTACTAGAAAGAATATTAACAATGCTATAAAAATTACTAATATTCCCCTTAACCACTCGTGGTAAGCTTAAATTGCTTGTGTTTACGAGTGGTTCACGACAGTAGTCGAATGGTGGATTCGAACCCACGACCTTTTTGAGCTCGCGGTCCGCGCCTTGCCATTAGGCTACTGTCGCTTCAAATTTGTCTTAATTATCAGGATTGACATGCGGCTTGATCATTGCAGTACAAGGCTATCCGCACATTTGACACAGCTTTCTATCACCGATCCAGGTATTTTATGTCTATTTTAAACGCAAAGGTATTTTTTTTCTATTTTAAACTGATTTTTATTGGAAGCTATAAGATCTTTCAGGCATATTCTATTCTTACGTCATCTAAGACACGAAATGGAGTGACGAATTTTTATCCAACTTCATTATCATCTCTTGTAAACGAAAAACAAAATAAAATTGTTAATAAAAGAAATCGTTACCTCCACACTAGAATTTTCTCCTGTATTGTGAGGGCAGTTTACATACATAAATTTCACAAGGACAAATAATCAGACCGGAAACAATTATTTGTAGGTCATACAAATAATTATTCCGCGCGGGATTCGAATTCAAACCCGCGTTCCTTAGCGCCGCAGCTCAATGCTCAGCCATGTGCTGCGAAGCTGTTTGAATATTAGACTCGTACTATTTGAAATTTTTCATCTGTATGCTCTGCAGTGGGACGTCAAGAAGACTGTCACCTCCTTTACCTATTACTTTTAATTTTTCAAATCATTAATTACGGCTAAAGTAAAGTTTTTATAATATTCATGTAATCTCTATTGAATTTATCGGTCAGATTACGTAATGACTCGTGAAACGCAAATAAACGACGAAGATAAAATAGTAATATGAAAACTACCGGTGCATTTAAAGCTCTGCGACATTTGATTGAAAAATAAATTGAACTGGGTAGGATTGGATGTGCTTTCCGTATTTCCGATTTACCGTTAAAATTGAACGCTAAAATTGAATATAAGATACTGAGCTAGGTTTCAGAATAATTTCGAATAATTGACTCATGAAGGTGCTCTTTAAACAAGGTAAGCAAACTCATTTTATTTTATTGGAACTTGCAGATTAATTTTTGATATCTTTAAATCGCATTGGCTTAAATAGAGCTCACTTACTTACCTTTATTAGGTACCCATATTTTTTTTACTATTATAAGCCAGCTCGACTAATATCGCACCTTATTATAATTATTGTGAGCAGGGGTAAGCGACAGTTTCTCATCTGTACTCTTCCTGGTTCTCATATAGCTTAGTACTTATTTTAGAATTATTTACTGACAGGATTTACACAAACTTTCCAATTTAAATTCCGCTCGTTCGTTAAGATAATGTAAGTGTTCTGGTACTTTTATTGCTACAGCAAATCAGAGTCAACTTAAAGTATTTTTTTAATTTTCCATGATGCTCTTGGTTCGACGCCAGATACTGCCTTCGATATCGAAGTTTTTTTACTCCGTTCTTACATTTTGTATCCCCGTTGTTATCGTCATTTTTTGTCAATCAGTAAATACTATATCTGATACATTGGGTGCGTTTGGCAGAAAAAAGCGCTAGCAAGCGCTTGTAAGCAAAATGGCGATCGTAAGCGGTAAGCGCTGTCAAATCGTAAGTAGCTATTTTCCTCCAGGACACGATGTTAGTTTTAACCGGGGGAATCTAACCTAATTTAAATATATGTTTATAAAGTATTCATACTAAAAACTTACCAATCATGTGTTTTTAATAGCATGTATATGTTTATTCATGTCATTATATCACTTAAAACTAATATTGCACAAAACAACTTATAAACTCTACTTCAAAACAAACAAATTAAATAAGCAAAATGGCGGATTGTGTCAGCGCTACTGAAGTAGCAATCGTGTCCTGGCCGAAAACTATTTTAGCGCTTATAAGCGCTTGCTAGCGCTTTTTTCTGCCAAACGCACCCAGTGTATGTGTTTGGTTTTTTAACTTCCCGTAATTGTACTGCGTAATGTAGGTAGTTTGTTTTTATTAAGTTAATTTTCGAAGATTTCCTAATTATTATTTTAATTAATTATTAGAATTAAATTAATTATTAGTTATATTATATGAGTTTGTGTTTTTGTATCTATCCTCCTACTAGTTTTGGTTTTACAGGGCGGCAAATCTTAAGATGACGATATTACCTTTAAGTACCTTACTTGTTCCGTGTCTGGGTATTTGTCCTTGTGCAATTTATGTATGTAGCCTGCCTCCACGATACATGAGAAATTCCTAGTGTGGGGGCAACGTTCTTTGAAAAAGGTGGTTAACAATTATTTTAAACCTAAATGATGACATAAAATACATTAATAGACACTTAAGCGAAGCTGGGACGGGTCCCTAGTACAACAATAAAAATATAGCTCAGACTTTTTCAAAACCGCATAATATGTATTACAAAAATGTTTTTGTTGTTTCGAGTGTAACATCTTGAAGGTTACAACTTAGAGCTTAGCCTCATCTTAGATAAGCACTAGACAAATAAAAATATGGCGTGTTTCTAGGCGTTAACTGTATCAGAACCTGACCTCGCCCAGCTCTCAAGACTTGGTCTAGTGCCAAGTCGACTATAGGTTTTTCAAAAAGAAATCGCCTTATTATTTCGCTGACATCGAATGACTGTTATGTTATTTATCAAGTTAATAGTAACGGTTCTTCTAAATGAGTCAAGATTATTATTAACCTGTCATGCTCTTAGGTCACATACTTTGTATTGTGATTTGTTTAATTATGATATTTTCCATTCTTTGTGAAAGTGACTAATGATTGAGTAACCAGGAGAATTAAATATTAAATAAATAAATAAAAACGTTACCTCCATACTAGGATTTTCTCATTTGGGGCAGTATTAAATACTTAAATTGCACAAGGACAAAGATCTATACACGGAAGAATTATTTTTTGCCCATAAAAATACTTCGTTCGGGATTCGAACCCGTGCCCCTTGCCGCTGCAACTCATTGCTAAGCCACTGCGCCATGGTGCCGTTAATGTATATTTGGTATCTAGCTATAAGCCGGCTACAATTATGTTTATTTAATTTATTAATTTCTAAAATTAAGTGTAGACGATTATTTTCGGATGAAACTAGGTCCATTAAAGTAATTGTATTTGTATATAAGCACCCATAAAGTAAATGTAAGTGACATCAGGCTGGGAGACCGCGGATTTTTAATAAGTTATTTGGACTTTACCCAAAATTAGTTCATAAACACTCACGCTTGTTACCGTGAAAGGTAGGCAGAGACTACGGACTTCCATTTACCACGGCCCAAGCACACCATCCTCCCATTTATACATTAATATATCTGCATACATGTACTTTAAGGGTTAATTTAACCCTTAATTTGCCCCAAATTCAAAATAGTAACAATTTGGTCGATACACTCTTATTAATTATGGTAATTGATAATTCTAAGTAACCCAGGGTAAATTTAGATTTAAAACAATATTTAAATAATTACTTAATGCCTTAAGGCGTAACAATAGAAGAGATAATTTATCTAAATATACATACAAATGTGGTATAATAATATTAAAATATTTCGTTAATATTAAAATATTTACCGACTAATAAGCTGTAATATTAAGGGGTTATTTGCGTGCTATGAAGCCATAATTTTTTTTGTTTGTCTGCCTGTCTTTTCGGGCTGATCTTCGAAATAGCTGAACTGATCGTAATGAAACTTCACGCGCAGCTGGAAAGCGTTGCCAGACGTCCGGATAAAGCCGGACACAGTCAGTTTTGGTTGCGTGTCCGGCCAAATTAAACGGTGTCCGGCTTTTGTTAGACTTTTTAAATTTGACCATTTCTATACATTTTTCATACACTTACTTACATACATAGGTACTATTGCAATTATTGAAATTAACATTGTAATAATAATAATAAAGTTATAAATAAATAATTTAATAAAGAAGATTGATTTATTTAATTGTTGTTATTTCGTTAGAACTTAAGAAGTTTTTACAGTAAATGATAAGGAGCATTGTTTTACTTAAAAAGTCTTTTACTAAGACAAAAAAATAAGGGTGTCCAACCATTGAATAAAACTATTATTTACGGATTTTATCGCGTTTAATTACTATAATTTATTTTTACTATCCCGACGTTTCGGGTGCTTTACAGCACCCATGGTCACGGGGGGTGACAATTTATCCTTAAACGACAGTTAAATTTTTGGCCGAACAAAACAGTTTATAGTATCATGAAGTCTTTCAGTGGATCTTGGGTTAATAATTATAGACACTGCAAGACTTCAAAAAACTGTTTTTAAATGGACCAAAATTAATATTCAAAAACTGAGGTAGAACAACTATGAATTGGGATGCAAACATCTCAGTCCCCCCTACCATTCAGTACACCCGAACGTCGGGATAGTAAAAATAAATTAAAGTAATTAAACGCGATAAAATCCGTAAATAATAGTTTTATTCAATGTGTAGTGTTCGCGTAAATTTAAGAAATCATTAGGTGTCCAACCATTTTATCAAAATGTCCGACTAAGCTCGTTGGTCCGACTTTTCGGTTTTAAGACCTGGCAACTCTAAATTCCAGGAGTGCATTTAGGCTATGTTTTAATCCGAAAAAATAAAAATAATAAACTAAATGGTGTTTAATCACGTTAAACCTAAATAGAGATCCTACCCAGGCAAAACAAGGGTGGGTCGCCTGTAATCAATAAAGACTGGACTGTAAGTCCAGCTCTGACATTTTCGCAGGTGATGGTGCCAAACTCTTACCTAGCATGTTGAATCCGTTGATGCCGAATAGGGCTGCGTCGCCTTGCCCCCCCTGGGAACACATACAGCGTGGGGTGGGTGAATCTGATGTTGCCCACTACGTCACTCGCTACCAGGAGCTGTTCGAGGCTCGCTGGCACGATGTAGGGTTCGAGATAAGCTGGAAAAGGATAAGAGATTAGAAAAAAGAACTTTTTTTAATTTATTTGTTTACTTATCCAAGCCAGCGCTTAGTTACTTTACCATCTGATGGTAAGTGATGATGCAGCAGTGGACAGTGAATCGTACACACTTAAAAAAATGTCTATTCACTCTTGCCTCGAAGTCACTGGTGAACATAGGGCTCCCTTAATGAATGCCATAAAGTACGGTCGTGAGCTACTCGTCCCTGCCTCTACCCACTTCCTGCATCTCGTCGTCACTACATCTCGTAAGAGGGGGCGGGGACAATTATTATTAATCATTACAGTAATAAGTTATAGTATATAATAGTAGTAACAGTAGTAACAATAATAGTATATACACACTATATATAGTAGATACACACTAGTAGGCTAGTGTGTATCTTTGTTGGTTTAGTTGTTGTAGTAGTGTGACTGCTAATAATGAGGTCCTGGGTTCGAATCCCGGGTCAGACCAAAAAATCAATTATTGAGTTTTTCCGTCAAGAAAGTCTCAGTAGCTGCCCGGAGTCAGGAAGTTAGCGGTGTCTCACTCTCGTGTTTCGGAAAGCACGTAAAGCCGTTGGTCCTGCATCTGATCTCTCTCCGGTCGTGTCGGTTTACCATCGGATTATGAGAGTGAGGGAATGAAGTGCTTGCGTACACATTTGGGCACTATAATCCTGTCCTGCGCCGATGGCTAGTCTCCGTTGAGGCTGGCCGCCGTGACCGAAATTGGGTCTGGATGACATTATTATTATCATTATAATAGTGTGTATAATTGTTGTGTTTTACTTAATTTTGATTATAAAAGAAGTAAAAAAGGGGTTTAATAATTATTCCTCAAGTAGCTCAGATGTTTAATGCTCGTGATGGTAAATGCGAGCAACCCGGGCTCGATACCCGCCGGCACCAATGTTGTTAATGTCAATTTTAAGTGCTGATATACCACGTGCTCGGCGGTGAAGGCAAACATCGTGAGGAAACCTGCATGTCTGAGAAATAAGAATTTCGAAGATATGTGAAGTTCGCCAACAGGGCAGCGTGGCGGTCCGAACCGGACTAAAACCTTCTCAGAAATGAGCGGAGGCCTGTGCCCAGGAGTGGGACGTATATAGTCTGTAACTTTAATTATTCCTTATGAGCTTACGACGAAAACTCAAAGAATAATCGTATAATAAAAATATTTCTAACGAATGTTTCGTCAACATCTATTGGGACAGCACTGCGGACATTTCATTATCCTCAAAATGCTCTCAGATGTGGGTAGCGGCTTATGCCCAGCGTTGGGAAATGTATAAATTCACTATTCTACTTTGCATTAAAGTAAATCTAAATTATTTATCTTCAACAATATGATCCTCTCCCTATACATGTATATATAAGTTAAAAGATATTTACTTCATATGTAAAAAATGTTTAAAAAAAGGAATCCCATTTTATTTCGCATCTATGTGATGGTTGTAGCACGAATTGGGAAGGACTCCGCTTTCACAGAATACTTGCGTAAAATAGCAGCTGAATCCTTTCGTAAGGTAGGTGTAGAGAAGTGGAGACCCTTTTAACGGGTAAAAAGGCATTCTATCTTAGTCCTCAGCGACAACGCATCTAAAATTTGTCTATGAGCCACAATATCCACTTGTGTGTCTGTTCTTTTAACTCTTAACTCATAAAAAACGTACATTGTAAAGAAATCGTAACTGAATTGTTGCCCACGGCAGTCGAGTTTATCTTATAAAATAGTGAAAAGAAAAGATCTCTGTGAGAATAATGGATTTCATTCAACGGCTATTAGCACAAAAGCGTATTGTTTAAGAGGTTATTTCATACTTCTGTGAAAACTCTTCATTATTTCCCTTTACTGAAAATTGTGAATTTGTCGGTTGCATAATGAGTTAATTTAAGGTACAAAGTTATCCGGGTACTTGAAATTTCCATTTATGTTTATTTATCTATATTTAACAACAAGGATTACATGGATACGAGATAAGAATTTTTAAAGACAGAAAGAGCGGAGAGAAAAAGAAACGTATATACGGGTATACCTAGTGATTTTTTTTTATATTTATGCGTACACTAGGTACTCAATAAATGAAACTAATTCAAAGGATTTCACTGCGTTTAATTTCAAACTTTTAGGTCAAATACCTAAATACCCTGGCGATCATGGGTGCGGTAAGCTGTAAAGCGGCGGAAATACCTATTATCATTGATTTATATATTATAACTCAATGACTATTATAATATTGTAGTCTTTGGTCCGAAAGGTCAGGAATTAAAAAGTTTAAATTAAATGCAATAAATCCGAAAAATTAGTTTCATTTAATGAAACATATTATATATCTAACAAAAGTACTGGATGATTTTTTTACCGCCTGAAAAAAATAGGGTGTAACAGGTGAAGGGATTAGAAGCCTATGGCGCTGATATTTTACATATTTTTTACATTAACATGTTATGAAATTGATCTATCAATAAATACTACTAATTTGACATAAACTTTCGGTACTAAGAAAATTACAACAAAATTTTAGAACTAAATAAATAAATCAATTAAAAACTATCGAAATTAAATTAATACGTTTATTTAAACGTTATTATACGTACGTTATTATAAAATATCATTTAGCCTTCTATTTCGTTCACCTGTTACACCCTATCTTTTCCAGACGGTAAAAAAGATCATTCAGTATGTAACATTGAAAAAAAAATCGGCTGCAGTGCTCAAATTATAACCAAGAAATATGTAGAGATCCCACTTAAACCACTCAGGTCATGTAATTCTTCATTAAATCATTCATTCATCGCAGCCAAATGCACTGCTAAATAAATAAGATAAAAAAACAATTTATTTTAGACAGAGTCCATATAAGTGACGTATATTATAATAAATTTAATCTCATCTAATTTCATTTCATTTAATTCAGTTTAATTCAAACTAACCTAACTATCTAATTTAATTCTAATTTAAAACTTAATTCGATTGCTTAACTTTAAAACTACTTAATATATACTAATTACTGCTAAACAGAGTTCCCTATACATTGCCTCATGGGAGAATATTTGAGAGTTGGAAACCGCAGTATATTTTTTCTACAGGTTATTAGGGAGACGTCGCTGCCCATCTCTTGGTTTGTTCCCCTCTAACGTCTCTTACGACACCCATGGGACGATATGGGGCAGTACATTACACCACTACTACGTGGTTAATTTTTAAACGGAGCTCATGTCTGTTAAACAGTCTAGGAAACATAAAAAATAAACATATTGATTTTGAATGACCTGTTGAGTGATATGCTGAATATGGTACACATTATTTCTTTACCGCCAATTTGTATTTAACGGCCGCCATTTTGGTTTTATTAAAACATACCCTAGCTTAAAGCAATCACACGGCTAAGACGAATCGATAGAAACCGCATTGATTAAATCCATAAAAATCCCATAAACATACAAATAATGCAAAACACTGTTTTTGCTCTCAATGAAAATTTGTGGGATACCACAGTACTGGTATTAAATTAAAAAGTTAGCATATATTATATGCATCAAAGTTGCCATACACTGATAGTATAAGAGAATATATGACCCCATTTCTTCCCTTTGGTATCATACGTGGCGTCTATGCGAAATGTCGGATAAATCTTATGGCCATATACGCTAGACGTGAACTACCTGGATTTTACGTGGTAAAACCACGCTGCAGCTATATTATGGTTGTAGCACGAATGGCTCAGCTCTCACAGAATACCAGCGTGAAATAATAGATTAATGCTGCTGTGTTTCATATGGTGAGTGTAGTGAGCGGAGACCCTCTATACTGGAAACGAGGCATTCCATTGTTACCCTCAGGGTGAAAGCGCATCTGCATTTTAATTCTTAATCGAGGATAAATGTAGATGTCTATTGGTCACAGCATCCAATTACCATCAGGTGGACTGTGTACTGGTTTATCACCTATATTTTATAAAAGAAAACTAGCCCGAAATATAATAAATAATTTAAAAAAATCAAAAAAATTTCTTTTGGTTTATAGTTTGTAATTGGGTCCCGCCTGCTACTAAACTTAATATTTTACTTAGGCTATTTTACTTAGGCTTTCAGCTCATAATATAGTCTGTTAAACCGAAGTAGTTTGCTTTTTTTATAGTTTTTTTTTTAAATTTTGTTTCCTTTACTCAATCTTGTTTCGGTCTTTTGAGTACATTACTTTTAAATTGTCTTTTCTGCAGTCGGGTTTTTGATTTTTTTAATTATTTATTTTATTTTAGACTTTTTAGTGTCTCAGTCTATTATGTAAAGATTTTTGACGATTTTTCAATAACTATGCGACTTAGAATGATCGATGTATATTTCCTGAAATAAACGGTGTCTATTTATTACATTTTTCTTCAAAACTTCAAAGTATACGGTTCAAAATTTATTGAAAACAATTTATTTGTTTTGGGTCACGAATATTAATAACTATGTGTTTTTTCATATAATAGCACGAGGTCCGACACAAACATTCCACATTTTATAAACCAGTTATCAAAAACTTTATAAACCAATTCATTATTCCTAATAAAATTTAACCATACAACTTATATTCGATATTCGATAGGTTTGGTTATTTTTTTTATTAACGAATAACTATTTTGCGCCAAAACCCACCATTTTGTTTATTTTAAAAAAAAAGCTATCTAAGAATAAGAACACTTGGGTTTTTAAGACGAATAAAACGATACGTTAATTCTTGAAATCCATCCAGCCGTTTGGAAGATACGAAATTTAAATATACCACTTATATATATTTGCAATCCCTTTTTATTAATCCCCTTTTAATTTCCTTTATTTTGATGTCTTATTCGATAGGTCTATAGTTAAAAAAATATTAATGTATTATTATTTTGCGCCAAAAATTCGCCATTTTGTTATTTAAAAAAGCTATCTAAACACACTTGGGTTATTAAGACCAATAAAACGATACCTTAAGTGTTGAAATCTATCCAGCCGTTTG